TAGGTCAGTTCAGCGGTCCTCTTACATTGTCAAAAAAGGCAGAGCCACCAGTCCAATTCCATACACGGTAATCTGGAGGCATTTAGCACTGGCAGTTATGTAAAATTCTATACATGCCTATCCCTTTAGTACTTGAAGGGCAAAGAAGCACTGATTCAGAAGTAACAAGCCAGTTTTACACTCTGATATGTCTAAACTTCACGCTGGGTTTTGATAACACCTAGCAAAGAATGATCGGAATGCGTAAAACCATCTATGCAGGTTTTGGCACTCAACGGAAAATGAAAATGCTTCATCCTTTACAAAAAAAATTATAAAGAATTTCAAGATGGCATCAGCAGAACATTAAACCAAACACAGGGCCTTAAATATATTTTAAATTTTATTTCACACATTCCTACCTTGTTTCCATTGGTTTCCACTGAAATTTTCAATTGCATGAATGGCTTCTTAAATGAAAGAATGATCCAGATTCAACGTGATAACTCAAACCCAGAGACCACAAAAACCAGAAGACCTTGTAGGTCCTCGAGTAGCCAAAGTGGTTTTTAAAAGGAAGAGCTGATGGACCAGTTAAGAGAAATCCTATTCTGTGTCTTTGATAAAACTCTCCTCATATCACCTTCAAAATCCTGAACTTTTAGTGATGATATACATTTCTCACTGTGAAATGGATGTTATGCTATTTTCTAAATAAATAAAATAATTCTAATACACTTACTGCAAATAATCACAGCCACATTAAAATCTACTGGTATTTACATATTAATGCAACTTTACTATGTGGATTTAAAGCAGCAAATTATAATTACATAACATTGTATAAGAGAAGGTCAATATGATGGCTGATTCTTAACAAAAACAAGTTTTAGGGTTCCATCTGTTTATTATTATTATTGTTTTGAAAAACTTAGAAACTATAGAAGGTTATAAAAAAGGAAGATAAAAATTACCCTAGGTTTTTACTACAGATAACCAGTAATAAAATTTGCTTTAGGAGCTTTTTGTTTTTTTAAAAATGTATGTAAATATTAATATGTTTTACTACTTAAAAGTTTTTTATTGTATAAAGTATATAAATTATTCCTCTTTATTATAGATTGCTTTTTATTTTTTTACTATAATACATAATATAATGGTGTACATTGTAGCGTAAATCTTCATGCTCATCAATAATTGATCATTACTTCCTTAGGATATATTTCTTGAAGTAGAATTAATGAATAAATGTAAAAATTTAGAAGTCATGTTAAGGCATATTATCAATTTGCCCTCCAGACACTGAAAATTTATAGCAATAATATTAGAACACCCTTTTCTACACTTGAGAAGAAGATTTTATTCTACTTCAAGTTATTCTTTTTATAAATACACACTAGGGTTCAATTAATCTTATATGAACCCCTTTCTATTGACCATGGTATTATTTTACAACAACTTCCACCAGGAATAATTCTCAGGACATATTAAATCTTTAGATGAAGAAAGTAAATAATTTTGGAAAGCTAATGGCCCATGAGTGTTTCATACTGTAGTTCAGAGGAATTACATGTTTTTCAGAAATATTGTGACACAGTACTTTAAATACATTTTTTCCAGAATTTTGCCTCAGGGCACTATGAGAGAGCTCTGCTTGCCATCTGCGCCGGAGATGCTGAAGACTACTGAAGCAAGGGGCGGCTTCGGAGGGCTGTGCACCCTGCTTTGCAGGCACGTCACCTAGAGACTTCCGTCATGAGTTTGCATTGTTAGCAGCATGATAACAAACTATATAATCATATTTCCTCTTCTGTCTTTAAAATTATTCTAAGCCAAAAAAATATTGATACATTTATGTGAGATTGAATTTTTACTTATTATCTAAATCAATGACTTATTAAATTGTGTATAATGGCATAATAAAAAAATAAAATAATGCATTGAATTAGATTTTATTTACATGTGAAACACAGACTCCCTACAACCAAGACTCTGTTTGTGGCCGTCCTTAGCGTGCTTGGAAAACAAACAAAAGCACAGCGTGTGGCCAGGTCTCTTAGAGGAACATTTAAAACTCTTGCACAAATGCCATATAGCTAAAATGAACATGTAAAGCCACCTTTAAAAGAAAATAAAGATATAATACAGCAAAATTCAGTCAAGTACATGCTCATCAGACTTAGCTGTGAAAGACACTAGATGTAAAAATGGGTGTGTGTGTGTGTGTGCGTGTGTTTGGCAGCCGGTCTGGTAAAGGCAATTTATCTCTAGCTAATATTTTTTATTTTATTTTTTAAAGATTTTATTTATTCATTTGTAGAGAGAGGGGAAGAGAAAGAGAGAAACATCAATGTGTGGTTGCTTCTCACACACCCTGTACTGGGGACCTGGCCCACAACCCAGGCATGTGCCTAGACCGGGAATTGAATTGGCGACACTTTGGTTTGCAGCCCGTACCCAGTCCACTGAGCTACACCAGCCAGGGCTCTAGCTAATATTTTTTAATGTTCGTGGCTAAACAACTACTTGCCCATCACTTTTGTTTTCACTTCTTTTTTTTTAATCCTTACCCAAGGACAGTTTTTCATTGCTGTTTGGAGAAAGACAGAAAAGGAGGGAAGAAGGGGGGAACAGAGAGAGAGAAAAAGAGAAAGAGAAGGAGAGGAAAAAGGAGAGAGATGTGAGAGCAAACACTGATCTAACCCTTCTCCTATGTGCCCCAACAGGGGATCACACCTGCAACTTGGGTATGTGCCCTGACCAGTAATTTACTTCACAAACATTTGGTCTGTGGGATGAGGTTCCAACCAATTAAGCCACACTGGCCAGGACAAGCTGTTTTCACTTCTTAGTATCAGCATCCAAGTCTTTTGAAAGTTATTATATGGTTTGCGCCATCAGTAGAGCCTGATCCCTTTGTGTGTCTCAACATTCAATATATTAGAAGCTGCAAGAAAAAAAAACCCAACTCACTGAGGTCAACTTTTGGAAAGATTCTGGCTTAATGCCATAATCTACCCTACAACAAAAGCAGAGTAACAGGCACAAACAGATCAAAACATGGCTCAAGAACAACTCAGAGCCCCAGAGCCAATAAATCTAAGCGATGAAGAAATAGCCGAACTTTCAGATGCACAGTTCAAAACACTGGTGATCAGGATGCTCACAGAACTGGTTGATTTTAGTCACAAATTAGAAGAACATATGAAGGCTAAACTAATTGAAATGAAGGGAAATGCATAGGAAATCAATAGTAATGGAAAGGAAACTGGGACTCAAATCAAGGGAGCAGACCAGAAGGGAAGAAAATGACCAAACAGAAAAATAAGAAGAAAAAAGAATTTAAAAAATGAAGAGAGGCTTAGGAACCTCCAGGACATCTTTAAACACTCCAACATCCAAATTATAGGAGTACCAGAAGGGGAAGAGGAACAGTCATGAGTGGAAACCTTATTTGAACAAATAATAAAGGAGAACTTCCCCAATCTGCCAAAGGAAATAGACTTCCAGGAAATCCAGGAAGCTCAGAGAGTCCCAAAGAAGGTGGACCCAAGAAGGAACACACCAAGGTACATCATAATTACATTAGCCAAGATAAAAATGAAGGAGAGAATCCTAGATGCAGCAAGAGATAAGGGGACAGTCACCTACAAAGGAGTGCCCATCAGACTGTCAGTGGATTTCTCAAAAGAGACCTTACAGGCAAGAAGGGGCTGGAAAGAAGTATTCCAAGTCATGAAAACCAAAGACCTACAACCAAGATTGATCTATCCAGCAAAGCTTTCATTTAGAATGGAAGGACAGATAAAGTGCTTCTCAGATAAGATCAAATTCAAGGAGTTCATCATCACTAAGCCCTTATTGTAGGAAATGTTAAAGGGACTTACCTAAGAAAAAGAAGATAAAAAAGATGAACAGTGAAAGGACAGCAAACTCACAGTTATTAAGAAACACACCTAAAACAAAAGCAAATTAAGGGGGACAGCTAGATCAGAAGTGAACCATAGAAATGAAGATCACATGGAGGGTTAGCAACAGGGGAGTGGGAGGAGGAGAAGGTACAGAAAATAAGTAGCATAGATGGTGGGGAGAAAATAGATAGGGGAGGGTAAGAATAGTAGGGGAAATATAGAATCTAAAGAACTTGCGACACGTGTTCATGAACTAAAGGGGGGACGGTGGGGGAGGGGTGTGCAGGGTGGAGGGGAATGAAGGGGGGAAATAGAACAAATGTAATGGCATAATAAATAAAATAAAAAATATATTTAAAGGAAAAAAAGCAGAGATGTGGATAGATGAACCCACAACAAAGGGCTCCCAACATAAGCAAGGGGAAACACAAAAACCAAGATCACAGGAAGCAGTGATTAGTGAAGTTGCATGAAGAAAGTGGGAACATATTTACAAAGTTGGAAGAATCGCTCTACCTGATGTCAAATTATACTACAAGGCCATAGGCATTAAGACAGCCTCCTACTGGCATAAAAGCATATAGAACGATGGAACAGAATAGAAAGCCCAGAAATAAACTCATGCCTTGATAGTCAATTAATACTCAACAAAGAATGCAAGAACGCACAACAGGGTAGAAGATAGCCTATTTAATAAATGGTGTTGAGAAAATTGGACAATTATGTGCAGAAAAGTGAAATTAGACCAACCACCTTCTTACGCCATACACAGAATAAATTCAAAATGTGTTAAAGATTTCAATTTAAGACTCAAAACCATAAAAGTCCTACAAAAAATATAGGTAGTAAAATTCTGGACATTTCTGTTAGCACTATTTTTTTCTGATATGTCTTCTTGGACAAGAGAAAAAGGAAAAATAAACAGATGGCACCATATCAAACTAGAAATTTATTGCACAGCAAAGGAAACCATCATCAAAAAGAAAAAGAACTCACTAAATGGGAGAACATATTCACCAATGATACATTTAATAAAGATTAGTATCCAAAATTTATAAAGAATGTACAAAACTCAACATCACAAAAACAAACAATCCAATTAAAAAACAGGCAAAGGACCTGAATAGACACTCTCAAAGAGGATATACAGGAAGCCAATGGACATATGAAAAGATGCTCTGTGTCACTAATCGCCACAGAAATGCAAATTAAAACCACAATGACCCCTAGCTGGTTGGAGTTTTTTCTGTAAACTAAAGGGCCATGGGTTCAATTCCCAGTCAAGGCAGATGCCTGGTTTCAGGTTCAGTTCAGAAAGGCAACCGAATGATGTTTCTCTCACATATCTATGTTTCCCTCCCTCTCTCTCTCCCCCTTTTTCCCTCTGTCTAAAATCAATAAGCACATCCTTGGGTGAGGATTTTTAAAAAAACACAATGAGCTATCACCTCATGCCTGTCAGAATAGCTATCATCAACAAATCAACAAACAACCAGTATTGGGGGGATGAGGAAAAAAGGGAACCCTCATGCACTCTTGGTTGGAATGCAGATTGGTGGAGCCACTGTGGAAAGCAGTATAGAGTTTCCTCAAAAACTTAAAAATAGAATTGCCTTATGACCTAGCAATTCCACTTCTGGGAATATATCTGAAATGACCTGCAACACTGATTTGAAAGAATACACGCACCCCTATGTTCACTGCAGCATTATTTACAATAGCCAAAGTTTGGAAGCAGCCCAAGTGCCCATCAGCAGATTAGTGAATTAAAACACTGTGGGACATTTACATAATCAATACTACCTGGCCATTTTTTATTAAAAAAGGAAATGTCACCTTTTGCAATAGTATGAATGGACATGGAGATTATTATGCTAAGTAAAAATAAGCCAGTCAGAGAAAAACAAATGCCATATGATTTAACTTATATGTAGAATCTAATGAACAAAATAAACAAAAAAAAACAAAATAGAAACTGACTCGTAGATACAAAAAATAGACTGACAGCTGTTAGCGGGGAGGGGCTTGGAGAGCTGGGTGATAAAATAGAAGAGATTATGGAGAACAAATAAATAAATAAAATCTACAGACTCAGACAACAGTATGGTGATTACCAGAGGGGAAGGAGGGTGGGGGAAAGTAGAAGAGGGTGACAGAAGGACATTTGGTCAACACACAAAACAATATACAGATGATGCATTGTACACCTGTATACCCACAATGCTTCAGAGGGGCCCCTGCCTTCCTGTATTGGATTTGGTTCCTATCTTTAAAAAAATTGTCACATTTCAAGCTGAACAGAGTAATTGTTAGAGACATTTAGCATAGCTACTTTACATGCTAAAATTCTTGGAAAAATATTGTTAGAATTCTTGATGAGATTTTTAATATTTAAATTAAAAATTTCTCACTTGGACATATCTTTAAAAATTTTTTTTCAGAGATTGGTGAAGGGAAGGAGAAAGAGACAGAGAAAAATAGCAATGGGAGAGAAAAACATCAATCAGCTGATCCGTTGCCTCTCCTATATGCCCAACTGGGCACCAAACCCATAATCTAAACACAGGCCCTGACCAGGAATTTGACTGGTGATCATTTGCTTTGTAGGACAATGCCCAACAAACTGAGCCACACTGGTCAGGGAAGGCTAGGACATCTCTTGATAAGTCGGTCAATACATTGTGAAATCTATACTTTAGCTAGGTTATCCATTTTATTTCATTGGTACTGAATGAATATCAAATCAAACACAAATCCAAACTTAACGAGAGACTTTATTTGAAAAAACTATTGTAATAAGTAAAAAGGCCTATTGCAATAGGTAAAGGCCAATGAAATAAGAAAAGCATTCTGCCTCTGAGTCTTCAGAGGTCAGAGTCTGCTGCTGACCTTCAGTAGTCTCTAAGGTCAGCCAGAAAAGAATTTTAATTTCTAGGGATAAGGAAACCAGGCTAGAAAGAATCAGGTATGAGGGAATGGCATGATGTGTGGTGTGACTGGACAAGTAATCTGGGAATGTCTTTTGGTTGACCTTCCTTGGCACAGTCGATCTGAGACAGTTATCAGAGAACTTGATCTGAGAATGCCTCCAGGCCATTTTCAGGAGAGACGGAAGGGCAGATTAAGGTTCAGGGCCTGTGGGGAGGGGAGAAGCCTTCCCAAAGGGCAGACTAAAGTCAAGTAAGCAGGTATGTTTGTCAGCAGGAGAAGACAATTTAGCTAAACATTTAATGAGTCAAAGAATGGGGATTTGGGTGGTTATGTTGAAGATTGTCACAGGTAAACAAGGGGGTCATTTGAAAGTCTAAGCTAAATCATTTTAGAAAGGGTGGTTCTTGCAGTAAACCATTTCCTGAAACACAGAAGAGCAAGAAAATTTCTTGACTGTCTCTGTTTTTCAGGAGCACAGTACTTGGGTAAAGTTTAACATTCAGTCTTTTTTCCCCAAGATTTGAATGAATGCTTTACTCAGTTGTTTAAATGCTAACACAACATTGTCATCTTCATCGTCACATAATTCACTCAGTGAAATCCTGTAAGAGATTAAGTGTTTTAATTATTATCATCGAAATTTATACTTTATGATGTTTAGCTGGTTATAAGATCTTTAAATGCAAAATTGCTTACTATACCTAATGGCTCGAACAGTAAGTGCAAAATCCTTGAGTAAATGATAAGCATCTCCCATATTTAACCTACAGAAGAAAAGACAAAGTAACATTTAAAACAAATTTGTTTCTGGTGTGTTATCAGTCTACAGTAATGAAGTAAATTACCACCTAACTGCTGACTTCTCCCAAACAAAATAGAAACAGATATGGAGAGAGTGCAGAGAAGTGTGTGTGTCCTTTGCAGTTCTTCACTATGCTTATTTTAGTCCCAAATTGACTAAACTAGTAAAGAGGCTAATCATTTATCAAAAAAATTATGACTTGTAGTTCTTTTATGTAGTAGTACATTATTATTATCAAATTTAAGTAAGTCACAGCAAAAACAGTGCTGAAAATCAGAGAGATGCAAGTACATACAAAAGTCCTGGGATGTCACTGAAAATGTAGTATAGGCAGCTCCAAGGACAAATCCTTCCACAGAAACATCAAAAATATGTATAGAAGCAAAAACTGTCAGAATCAACTTTGTCAGAACTTTGGAAAATAGTCAAACGTTTGATTCAAATAGTGAAAAAGTTTAGAAAAGATAGAAAAGCTTTGTGACATCTTACTTGCCCTGTCCCCAACCTCCAGACAGTTCAGGGATAATCTTGAAGACAACATCCTATGATACCTGCATGGTGCTGGAAGGAGGGAGGGAGGGGCCCCAGGAGAAGGTCGGTGCCCAAAATGGCAAAAGCAAGTGTCCTTCTTCATCAGTAATTACTTTAAGTGTAAATAAATTGAATTATTTATATTTAGATTATATAAATCTAAAATATAGACATCATGTAACCATATACTGTCAGTGAGAAACTTACTTTGCAACCCAAAACACAAAGATATGGAAAGTGAAAGGATGAAAAAGGTATTTTATAAAAATAATAAACAAAAGAGAGCTGGGATGGCTTCTCCTAATATCAGGGAAATAGACTTCAGGTCAAACACTGTTACATGAGACAAGAAATACATTATATATTGATGAAAGGATCAATTGATCTAGAACACAAAAACAATTATAAACGTATAGATCCCAAACAACAGAGCCCCTAAATATATGCAACAAACATTGACAGGATTAAAGGGAGAAACTGACTGGATTAAAATAACAGTAGAATACTTTAATACCCCGCTTGCAATAATGGATAGAATATCTAGAGAGAAGAGCAATAAGGAAATAAATGACTTAACACAAGAAGCCAACTAGACCTAACAGACATAGTTAGATGACTACATTCAACAACATACATTCTTGTCATGTGCATATATCAAGCATTTGCCAGAAGTGCCCATAGTTTAGACAAAATGATTTTCAGTATATTTAAAAATGTTGAAGTTAGACAAAGTGTCTTTTCATACCACAGTGAAATGATGTCACAAACCATTAAAAGAGGGAAGACTGAAAAATTAACAAATATATGGAAATTAAACAGCACACAAACCATGGATCAAAGAGGAAATCACCGGAAAATTAGAAAGCAAATGAAACAAATGACAGTAAAAGCACAAGACACCAAAACTTAGGGAATACAAAGAAAACAGTGCTCAGAAAATTTATGTGTTAATACCCATGCTGAAAAATATAAAGGACCTCAAATCGACAACCTAATTTTACACCTTAAGGAACCAGGAAAAGAAAAGTGATCTAAAACCTAAGTTACCAGAGGAAAGGAAATGAAAAAGATCATTGTGGTAATAAATGCAACAGAGAATACAAAAATAATAAAGAGGATCAATGAAACAAATATAGATTCTCAGAAAGTATCAACAAAATCGATAAGCCTTTAGCTAGCCCAACAAAGAAGAAAAAGAAAGATTCAAATAAATAAAAGCAGGAATGAACATGGCAACATTACTACCTATGCTATAGGAAAAACTAAATTATATGAGAGTACTATGAACAACTGACTCTGCACCAAAAATTAGATAATCTATGTTAAATGGACACATTTCTAGGAATATACAAATTACCAAAACTTTTAAAATATGTAGAAAAATCTAATAAAACTTGGCTTTGCTGGTGAATTCTACCATTTAAAAAAGAATTAACACCAACCTTCTAACTCATTTTATGAGCCTATATGACCTTGATACCAAAACCAAACAACATTATAAGAAAGCTACAGACCAATATCCCTTATGAATACAGATGCAAAGATTCTCAACAAAATACCAGCGAACTGAAAGCAGCAGCATACTTAAAAGATTATACATCATGACTTTGTGAAATTTATCCCAGGAAGGCAAAAAACTCAACATAAGAAAAATCAACTAATGTCCATACTACCCAAAGCAATCTACAGATTCAATGCAATCCCTATTAAAATACCAATGACATACTTCACAGATTTAGAATAAGTATTTCAAAAATTTATATGGAACCAAAAATGGCCTAAGAGCCTCAACAATCTTTAGAAAGAAGAACAAAGTAGGAGGGATCACAGTTCCTGATATCAAACTATATTACAAGGACACTATAAGCAAAACAGTCTGTCTGATACCGGCATAAGAACAGAGACATAGATCAAGGGAACAGAATAGGAACCCAGAAATAAACCCATGTCTCTATGGTCAATTAATATTAGACAAAAGAGGGCAGAAACATAAAATAAATTAAAAATAGCCTCTTCAATAAATGGTGTTGGGATATCTGGACAAGTACATACAAAAAAAAAAAGTGAAACTAGACCACAAACTTACACTGTGCACCAGAACAAACTCAAAAATGGATAAAAGACTTAACCATAAGCTGTGCCACCACAAAAATCCTAGAGGATAATATAGGCAGTAAAATTCCACATATCCCACAGAACAATATTTTTGCAAATATATCCTCTAGGGCAAGGGAAATAAAGGAAAGAATAAACAAAGGAGACTGCATCAAATTAAAAAGCTTCTGCATGGCTAAATAAAATGTCACCAATATGAAAAGGGAATCAACCATAAGGGAAAACATATTTGCCAATAATACTCTGGATAACAGTTTGATCTCCAAAATATATAAATAACACATATGAATAAACAACAGAAAGACAAACAATCCAACTAAAAAACAGCAAAGGACCTAAACAGACACTTCTCCAAGGAGGACCTATAGAGGGCCCAGAGACATATGAAAGGATGCTCAACATCACTAGCTATCAGAGAGATGCAGATTAAAACCACAAGGAGATACCACCTCACACTGGTCAGAATGGCTATTATTAACAAATCAGTAAACAAGTGCTGTCAAAGATGTGGAGAAAAGGGGACCATAATGCACTGTAGGTGGGATTGAAGACTGGTGTAGCCACTATGGAAAACAGTATGGAATTTCCTCAGAAATCTTAAAATGAAACTGCCTTTTGACCCAGCAATTCCACTGCTGGGATTATACCCTAAAAACCCTGAAACACCAATTCAAAAGAACCTATGCACCCCAATGTTCACAGCAGTACAATTCACAATAACCAAGTGCTGGAAGCAACCTACGTGCCCATCAGTAAATGAATGGATAAAAAAACTGTGGTACATTTACACAATGGAATACTACAAAGCAGAAAGAAAGAATGAGCTTCTACCTTTTGTGACACCATGGATGGAACTGGAGAGTATTATGTTAAGTGAAATAAGCCAGGTGGTGAAGGACAAATACCGTATGATCTCACCTATAAGTGGAACCTAGTGAACAAAACAAATAAGCAAGCAAAATAGAACCAGAGGCATGGAGACAAGAAACAGACTGATAGCAACTAGAGGGGAAGAAGGGGAGAGTATTGGGAGAAAGAAGAGGAAGGATCTAATCAAAGAACAGGTATAAATAACCTATGGACATGGACAACAGAGTAGAGAGTGACTGTGGGAGCAGGGGTGGGTGTGGGTGGGGCAGGAGGCAGCAACAGGGGAAAATTGGGACCACTTTGATAGAACAACAATAAAAAAATAATAATACAATTTAATAAAAATAAAAAATTAATTAATATAAGCCCTGGCTGGCGTGGCTCAGTGGATTGAGCGCAGGTCTGCGAACCAAAGAATCACAGTTTGATTCCCAGTCAGGGCACATGCCTGGGTTGCAGGCTAGTTCCCAGCAGGAAACACATTAGAGGCAACCATACATTGATATTTCTATCCTTCTCTCCTTCCCTTTCCCTCTAAAAGATAAATAAATAAAATATTTTTAAAAAGAATAAAAAGTTAATTAATATAATATACCACATTAATACAATAAAGGAAACAAAGTCACATGATCACCTCAGTTATTGTAGAATAAGCACTTGAAAAAATCCTTTCATAATAAAAACACTCAGCAAAACCAAAAATACAAGGGAACTTCCTCAACAGTATAAAGAACATTTTTGGAAAATCTCACAGTTAACAATTTTAAAAGACTGAAGATTTTTTTGAAAATCAGAAACAAAACAAAGATGTCTGATTTTACCCTTACCATTCAGAATTTCACTGGAAGTACTAGCCACAGCAATTAGGTAAGAAGAAGAAAAATAATCAAAATTGGCAAAGTAAAACTCTCTTTATTCATAAATGATATGATCCCATACATAGCAAATCCTGAAGAATCTACAAAATAACTATTAGACCTAATAAACAAAGTTTGTGATGCTGTAGAATACAAGATCAATGCTAAAAATTCAGTTGTGTTTCTATAAATAAGCAAGTTACTCTGACAAAGATATTAAGGGAAAAAATCCAATTATAATAGCATCCCCCAAATTAAATACCTAGAAATTAATTTAACCAAAGAGGTTAAAGACTTACACACTGAAAACTATAACATTGCTGAGAGAAATTAAATACCTAAAAAATGAAGAGACATCTTATGTTTATGGATTGAAAGACTTATTATTGTTAATATGACAATATTATGTAAAGTGTACTAAAGACTCATTGCAACCCCTATCAAAATTTTCAGTCTTTTTTTTTAAAGATTTTACTTATTTCTTTTTAAGAAGAGGGGATGGGAAGGAGAAAGAGAAGGGAGAGAAACATCCATTTGTGGTTGCCTTTCACACACCCCTTACTGGGGACCTTGTCCACAACCCAGGCATTTGCCCTGACTGGGAAATGAACCAGTGCCTTTTTGGTTCACAGGCCAGCACTCAGTCCACTGAGCCACACCAACCAGGGCAAAATTTACACATCTTTCATTTTAGAAGTGGAAAAAACAATCTTCAAATACATGTGGAATTGTAAAACACCTTGAATAGCCAACACAATATTGAATACAAAGAACAAAATTTATAGACTCACACTTCTGTATACAAAAGCTATAGTAATCAAGACAGTTCAGTACTGGCATATGGATAGACCTGTAGTCTATCAGAATAGAACTAAGAGTTCAGAAACAAACCCACATATCTATGGCCAATTGACTTTTTGACCAGGTATGAAGACCATTCAGTAGGGAAAGAATTCAAAAAATGGTGCTGGGACAATTGTATATTTACTTGCAAATGAATAAAATTGGACCTTAATACATACTATATAAGAAAATGTATTTGCAAATGAATTAACCACCTAAATATAAGAGCCAAAACTATAACATTCATAGACAAAAACATAGGGATATATCTTCATGAGCTTGGATTTGTGAATGGATTCTTAGCTATGACACCAAAAGCATGAACAACAGAAAAAAAAATAGATTGCACTTTTGCATATTAAAGGGTGTTATCAAGGAAATAAAAAAATAAAGAAAAGTAGAAAATGTTTATAAATCATATATCTGATAAGGGTCTATTATCCAAAATATATGAACAACTACAACTCAAGAACAAAAAGAAAAACAACACAATTATAAATGAAAACAACACTTGAATAGACATTTCGACAAAGAACATATAGATCTTTTTATGATATGGGAAGATGTTCAATATCATCAGTGTATATGGAAATGCAAGTCAAAACCACAATGAGATATACAAATATCACTTCACACCCATTACAATGTCTATAATTTTTTTTAATCAAAATAGCTAATGTGGTGAGATTATGGAGAAAATGAAAAACTTGTATATTGCTAGTGGTAATATAAAATGGTTCAATAGCTATGGAAAATATTTCAATGGTTTTTCAAAAATTTTGATATAGAGTTATTATATGATCCAGCAATTGTACTTCCAAAAGTGTACCCGAAAGAATTAAAAACTAGTACTCAAATAAATACAGGTCCGTTCATGTTCATAGCAGTACCGTTCACAATAGCCAAAAGTGGAAGCAACCCAAATGCCCATCACCTACATAAACATAGTGTGTATATACATACAAAGAAATATTATTTAGCTATAAAAAGCAGTGAAATACTGACAATGCTACAACTTTAAAATGTTATAATGAAAGAAGTTAGACATAGAAGGTCACATATGACTTCGTTTATTTTAAATATTCAGATGAGGGAAGTCCAAGGAGACAGAGAGCAGACCGATTGTTGGCAGAGGATGGGGGAAGAGAGGAAAGGGAGCTACTGTTTAATGAGTACAGATTTTACCCTTAGGAAAAGGAAGAAGTTTAGCAGCTAGGTAGATGATTGTTGCATAACATTATGAATGTACCAAATGTCCAATTGTTCACTTTCATATGGTTAACTTTATGTTATGTGAACATCCCCTCAATAAATAAAAAATAGTAAATAGCATTTAAAAGTAGTTCCAAGTAAAATGCATCTTTATGACTCTTCTTAAATTTTTGCATCTTACAATCATCCTCATAAGTTATAATGTCACAGCACAAGAAACATGAATTATGCAAGTGCATATACCTCTACAAACAATGTTAAAATAGCCCTGGCTGGTGTAGCTCAGTGGATTGAGCGCGGGCCTGTGAAGCAAAGGGTGGCTAGTCCGATTCCCAGCCAGGGCACATGCCTGGGTTGCAGGCCAGGTCCCCAGTGTGGGACACATGAGAGGCAACCACACATTGATGTTTCTCTCCCTCTCTTTCTCCTTCCTGTCCCCTCTCTCTAAAAATAAATAAATATTTAACAACAACAACAAAAAGAATGTTAAAATAGAAAAATCCATACCAGTTATCCCAAGTGAGCGCCGACAGGGAACGGTTTTTGTAGAAATTCATTACATAACCATTCAGTGGAGACTTCCTTCCGTTTATATCATACTTAGTCATGTAAAAGAAAGGAACTTTTGTAACATCCACATAAATTGTTTGGAACATAGCCTGAGGAATGCAGAGGTTTCAGATCGTTAGCATTTCCTTTTGAGTGGTGCCTCAACCTATTACGAACTTTGATTATTGTGGTTCATGACATCTAGCTAACTAAAACAACAACCCAATATATTTTAATGAAGTATCATCAAATATTAACTCTATTAAGGTCCTCCAAACTTTAATATAAATGACCTAATAAAATCATCATTATCCAAAATATTAAAACTATTTTTGAACTCACAAAAATGATATATCTAATTTATTCAGAGTTTGAAGAGACATAGTCATTTTTATAATCTCAGAAATATACTCAATTTTAGAAATAAATTATTTCTCCTGAGAAGATATTTGTATAAGCTTCCAAACTTATATGGTTTCAGCTACACATAGTAGTAATAGTGCTTGTTCTTTTTTCCCCATACACATCTATTTTTTTTGGAGGGGATATAAGTGCCTGATTTTGGCCAATTACAGTCCCTGGAATTTATTCCCATCAGCATGGAGCTTCTATGGAGCTTCTGTGGAGAAGCTGTCAGGGGTCCAGGTAGGACCGGTAGTCTCACTACTGCCAGTCTCGTGGGGCAGGGAACAAAGTAGCTCTTGTGTCAGGAGGTGCTTGATATGTGCTTACTGAGTTTCCACTCCCCAGTTTTATGTGCAAGGATCACAGAGGTCAAACAAACAAAACGGTCCTCGAATGGTTTATAGCAGGGACTCTCCGATGTTCTTTTATTCCATTTTTTTAAACTTTTTATTACTTTTCAATTACAGTTTACACTCTATATTATTTTGTATTAGTGTCAGGTGTATAGCATAGTGGTTAGACAATCATACACTTTACAAAGTGCTCCCCCCAATATTTCTTATATCCACCTGGCACCATACAGAGTTATTATAATATTATTGACTACATTTCCTACGCTGTACTTTACAACCCCATGGCCATTTTGTAACTACCCATTTGTACTTCTCAATCCCTTCCCCTTTTTCATCCAGTCCCTCAACCTCCATTCCTTCTGGCAACCATCAGTCTGTTCTCTGTATCTATCAGTCTATTTCACGTTGATGTGTATATTGAGCTCAATTGTCTGAGACAGCTCCCAAGATTCCTCATTTCTAGCAGGTAAGACTAATGTTGTGGGTCTCTGGTTTCCACCTGGAGTGGCTATAGTGACTCACATGAGTACGACAACATAATTCCTACATGACGATTAACTGAGACAACATTCTTTTCATTATCTAATTCAGTGTCTATTTTTAAAACTACTTACGTAGTAAAAAAAGAGAAAGGATTGTTTTTCACTTCAGCAAAAAAAAGTATTCTGGAATGAGAATACAATGGCTTTGTTTTACTGGACACTGAGCTAGTATTATAATCACATAGAATTATTTCTCTTAAATGATAAATAGGATAAAAGAAAACGTCACAGTAAAATTTACATACATCCTTTACCACACTAATACGAAATAAATCTTGATCGGTTATGTTGGACAGGCAAGCAAATGGGGAAACAGCAGTTCTGTGCTCCGTTCCAGGCATTAAATGAGAGACCAGTTCAGAGTCCTCACATTCTTCACCTGAAAAGTCTAATAAGAAATCCAGTAGAAAATCAAATAAGAAAATGATTGAAAACTGTTCTCCTATTAAACACAAATGATTTAAAACAAATCATATTGGTTTATACCATTACTACTAAGCAAATTATTAAACTTTCTTTTGATGAAAATATTTAAGAGAAAAAAAATAAAAAACTGTAATGCCAGATGATCACTGAGAAAACTTTCTTCGTAAACTAAAAACATTCTGGCATCTGCTAGCGGTTCTATTATTTGAAGTTATCACTTGGTACAGTTGGGTAACTTCATGTCTATCCACTCAGAAATTTATCAGATACACACTACTGACAAAGTATAAAACACTCTTCATTGGACCCTAGTGGGTCTGAGGACTCCAGATCAAATACCAGCACCATCCACCTGTCCTTTAGAATGAATTTCACTATCATTTAATATCTCTCAAGATTCTATGGAGCTACAAAAACTGTACAATTTCTCATAACAGAGTTAAAATTGACATCATGCTCACTTTCTTACACTAACTCTATTATTCACATTCCAACAAAGGGAAAGAAATTCCTACTTCATTTATCAGGATGCAAAAATAATAAAAGAACATTTCTAGGTCTTGTAGAGATCAACCATGTCACCTCAGGCCTGACTGGTGAGTTTGAGAAAAGGAGCTGTTGTCATGTCCATCTCAAATGGTTCCCTATCTATCTACCAATCGATCGATCAATCGATCTATCATTTATTATCTTCTTTTCTGCCTTCCTTTCTCTATTTCGTCTTTCTCTGACTTCCTTCTGTGACAACACCACTCTTTCTTCTGTCTCATTGTTTCTCTTTAACTCACTGTCTCTCTTCTGTTGTTCTTTGCCTTTGTCATGTTTGTTCTTCTTCACCTTTCTTTGTTGTCTCTCTATTTTCTGTTTCACCCTCTTTATCTCTCTTTATTAATCTCTCTCTATAGGTCTGCTGCTCTTCTGCCTTTCTGTCCATGTGTTTGTTTCTTTCTATTTCCCTTTTTCTCTTTCAATCTCTGTCTCTGTCTCTCTCTCTTCCTGTGTGTCATTCTGCGTATCTATTCCTCAAGGTATCTCTGCCTTTCCTATACACACTTCTCTGCGTCTGCCTCTGTCAGTCATTCTGTCTGTTTTTTTTGTTTCTATTTATCTTCAATCTCTGCTTAAGGTCACCTGATGACTAAGAAGATACATTCTATTATTATTTATGTTATGCATGGTATCTTAGAGAGAATTACGAAAGAGAGGTATAAGAGAGAATTACATTGTTGCTTCATTTCGGAGCCAGGAAAGTGCAGCTTCCTTCTCTCAAGGCTATGCTTTGTGAAACACCTTTGACTGAAAATGGAAACCATGTGTCTGATTCAGCTTTATTCATATTACTCCCTTGTCAATTTTTCAGTTGATCCCAAGTATAGGAGACAAATACAAAGGTTTAATGTCTGACCTTTAAGTGCCCAAAATTAAATTTATGACTATGATTAATTAATAAGTAACCCTGCATTTTTAACAGTTACAATTATCTGACATTATTTGTTTTAATTAGAGGTGGTGGTTGTACATTTTACTGTACCAAATGCTACTGAATTGTATACAGTACTTAGAAATTATAGAATTATATATTATATAAATTTCACCTCAACTTTTTTCAAAAACTTAGAAAAAATTATGCCTGCATTTGTCACTATTAATTTGCATGTCATTTCTTAGAAATTATATTAATTTCCTAATATTGATGTAGCAAATTACCACAAAATTCATGATTTAACACAACCCATATTTATTATTTTACAGTTCTATAAATTAGAAGTCTGAAATGAATATCACTAAGCTAAAACCAAGGTATAATGAGAGCTTGTTTGATCTCTGGAGGCTCTAGTGGAGAATCTATTTCCTTGCTTTTTCCAGCTTCTGGAGGCTGCTACACAGTCCTTGGCTTGTGGCCCTTGCATCTTGAGAGCCAGTGATGATTGGTAAAATCTTGCCAACAGCGCATCTTCCTAACTCTGATTTTTCTGCTTCTCTCTTTTACTGAAAAACACTCTTATGATTACATCCAGGCACACAAATATACTGGTAATCCAGTATAATCTCCCCATTTTAAGGTAGCTGATTAGAAAATTTAATTCAATCTGCAATCTTAGCTCTCCTTTTACTACATAACATATTTTCAGGTTCTCAGGATTAGGATCTAGACATGTTGAGGAGAGACCATCATTCTGCCTAACACAGTAAACATCTCAGAGAAAAGGCAGAAAAGTAAAATAATTGTATTCACACCATCAAGTCCCAAGTGTAGGAAACTGCCTGGGAGCACTTACATTCTTTTCCATGAAGTTGAGGCATAACTGATTTCCTCATCCCATGGCTGAGAAAACTGACCATTTTGTCTTTGTCCTTCGTAAGTCTTCTACATTCCAATACAACACTTTACCCAGAAGTGTGAATAACCCAAATCAGCACTTACTGCTCAATTCTTTTTCTCTTTTCTTCTTTTGGAAAACAGAATTCTGCCACCTTCCTTCCACCTCTCAATCCTTCTGTCTTCCTATTTTGGAGCACTGAGTGTATTCTCTACTTCCAGCCCCTTTGCTTCATCTGGCACACGTTACCGATTTTAAAAAAATATTTTATATTCTTTTTCATGTATTCTGTCTTTCCCTCAAAGACATGTGCAAAGACTTAATTTCTTTAATGGCCCCCATAGTATTCAAGGAAGTAGAACACACTGATGACCACTAATAAATAAGCCAATATTCTTTTTCTTATATTTTCATAGTTATTCAGACTTGAAAGGTTAACTAGTTAAGAGCACCAATAACTACTGAAGAATAGCATCAATAGGAAAGGAAATATTTTATAAAAAATTTAGACCATTTGATGGTCTGTTAGCTTATAATAACACCAGAAAAATATAGAAATATCTTAAGTATTTAGTGTTAAATCAAATCTATGTTGGCTTGGCTAATTCCAAATAATGTTTTCAGTATATAATTTCCACAGCATAGATCTGAAGAATTATAATAGTTTCCTGTGTATTCTTTTTGCAATCGTTTTGTCCTTATTTTTTAAAGTTTAGTTTTATCAAAAGTATTTACATTTTCTATTATTAACTTTGCATTCTGTTTAGGTACATTCACAGTCTTACCAATTTCTGAGAGAGGTAGCTGGGATTCTTTTGTCATGTCGGCCAACTTAGAAATCGTTAGGAGGAAGGAACCAAAGTTCTTTTGAATTATGCTGTTGTGTTCCTTTACCACTTCAGCGAATTCCCGGGGAAGATCATCTAGGATTACCTAGGAACAATGAGTCCAACTACTGTAATGATATTTTAAAGCCAGAGGACTAATGAAGTCTGTGAGACAGATGGTCATAATATATTTAAAACTCTGGATGAAAAAAATATTTTTAAGTATAAATTCTATTATTTATAAAAATATAGCCCTGGCTGGTGTAGCTCAATGGATTGAGCACAGGCCTGCGAACCAGAGGATTGCAGTTCAATTCCCAGTCAGGGCACATGTCTGGGTTGCAGGCCGGTTCCCTGCAGGCCAGTTCCCAGCAGCGGAAGCACGAAAGGCAATCATACATTGATGTTTCTCTCCCTCTCTCCTTCCCCTCTAAAGATAGAGGAATAAATAAATAAATAATTTTTAAAGTATAAATACAACAACTAAAATCACTTAGTTTTTGTGATCCTACCACCCAGGAATATATGTTTTAGAGATTTGGGTATATAATATTTCCTCCTAGTCTTGTTTATACAAATTGTGTTGCAGTGCGCAGTTTCTTTTCTGTCTTCTGTTTATGCTCATCATTGCATCTGGAGTACAGGCCCATGTCACGGAATTGAAAAGGTGGAATCGGCCCATTGCTTGAAAAGATGAACTTTAGTGACTACATAGTATTGCCACATACAGGCTTGTTAAAGTTCTTCTAACCATCCTCTTTTTATTGGGTATATGGGTGGCATCCAGTGTTCAATTATAAATAATTATCAAACGTTATACTTTGAAGTATGTCCCTGGAAAAACTTCAGGTTGAAATCCCAAGGTTCAGCTCATTAGGAAATCAGGTTATTGCAGATATAACTAGTTGAGATGAGGGCTGTACTGGAACAGGATGAACCCCTAACTCAATGTGATCAGTATTCTCATAAAAAGGGGGAATTTAGACAGAGAGACATGTATACAAAGAGAATGCCTTGTGAACATGAAGGCGGAGATCGGGGTGATGCATCTCTAAGCCAAGGAATGCCAGAGAACACCCAGAAGCCACGAGAGAGATGTGGAACATGTTTATCCCTCAGTCTTCGGAGGTACCCAACCCTGCCTAGACGTCAGCCTTCAAAACAGAGACAGTAAATTTCTGTTGTTTAAGACAGTTGGTGGTTCTTTGTTATAACTGCCTAAAAAAACTAATAAAAGAATATTTTATATAATTAATTTATGCAATGATATAATTTGATTATATCATTCTTATAATTTCAAAGAAGTAACAATACTACATTAAAGAATATTTTGAAGGACATATCTATTTGCAGTCCTGTCAACATAACTATCAATTGCAATATTTGCCATCCTAACAACTACAGCATCTTGTTAATATTCATTTTTTTTACCGTCAGAAGGATTATTTTACTTTTTTTTCAACTTTAGCATATGAAAGAACTAAAATTTTCATTATATCTCTTTTGTATTTGAAGACCTTACTAAACTGTCATTAATTGTTATCATTTTCCTGTCAGTCCTTTTTGCTTTTTCAGTAGCCAGTCATTTCTTCTGAAAATGAAAATAACCGCTAAAATAACAGCTAACACTTATTGGATGTTTCCTAACTACCAAGCACTGTTGTAAGCACTTTGCATATATTAATTAATTTAATCCTTATAGCAATCTTTTGAAATAGGTACTACTATGATTTCCAGCTGACAGGTAAGTAATAGGCCTGGATAAAAAATTTTGCTTAATGCCACCTATGTGCCAAGTAGCAGAGATGGGAAGAGGTCCAGGAATCCCTCTGGCTTTATATTACTGTATGGTAGGTCATATTCACTGTGCTTACCTTTCCCATAATTATATGGTACTTTTGTCTCTTGTGATTTGGCCATGAGTGAAATTCCCATAATTTCAAATGGCTGTTAAATTGGGCGTTTATTTCTTCTTATTTCAAGGTTAAGTGTTACTATGGCCATTATTTCACCATTATATGTAATGATTGAGACATCTTCAATGTAATAAAAAAATCCTATGTTACTCACTTGCTAAAAATCTCTAATAGAAATAAAGTTTTCTACTTTTTTTTTAATTGTCACCTGAGGACATACTTATTGATCTTAGAGAGAGGGAAAGGGAGGAAGAGAACCATCACTGTAAGAGAGAAGCATTGACTGGCTGTCTCTTGTTATGCATCTCAGTCAGGGACTGAACCCTCAATCCAGACATGTGCCCTGACTGGGAACTGAACCCACAGCCTTTCGGTTTATGGTTGAATCTCCAACCAACTGAACCACAGCAGCCAGGGCAAGTTCTCCATTTTTAAAAAGACCTCGACCTTTTTCTGCATCTGAGAAGTCACTGTATATAACCAAGAACTGATTGAGGCACGATGAAGAAATAATGCTAGTAAATGACAGCAAAACTTTGTTTTGGGGGAAATATGGCTATACTGCATGTTCTAATGGAAAGATTTTAAGTAAAATTGCAAGGTTATGGTATATATTTTTTTCTTACCATTGAACGAGAAGTATTTTTTTTTAATTTGTTCACACAGGGAGGAAGATGCCGTCTTCCAAAAAGATTTGCTAACACCACCACTAAGGTCTCCATCACATCTTCAGAAAATCTCTTTTGGCCTGTTTAAAATAAAGCATTTAATTTTCCAAACTTTAGAGAACAAAATTCAACATTTTAGAAATATACTAAAAAAAGAAAGAAATATACTGAGTCAGTTCTTAACATCTAAACTTAAGTCCTGGCTGTTGTGAGACTGTGGGTCAAGCACCAACCTGTGAACCTGAAGGTCACTGTTTCAGTTCTCAGTCAGGGCACATCCCTGGGTTGTGGGCCAGGTCCCCAGGTGGGGGCATACGAGAGACAACTATAGGTGTATCTCACTGATGTTTCTCTCCCTCATCTGTTCCCTCCCTTCCCCTCTTTTTCTAAAGCCACTTTCCCTAAAGCCACTTTCCGATGTTGAGTGAACTTTTAAATAAATCACGATATCACTATAATAATGCAAAGTAGGTGGCATCCTACTGACATAGACTCTGGTATCCTTGGATCCGCTTTAAGCTGAAGGAACCAAAAGAAAAAAAAAAAAAAAAACTGCCACTTTGCCACATGGTCTTTAGCTCTGGCATGGCTCCGGATTCCATCATGGGGTTCAAATCTTCTTTTTGCTGATTTGCTTCATTCATTTTTTTCCACCTCTCTTCAAAACCTACTAAGGAATGAAGGCCCTTGCGCAGCTTTCCAAATTCTTTATCTGCCTTTCAAGGCCACATATCAACCCATACCCTTCACTCTGTCTTTGGCAACATTACGGTCCAAAAACTAATCTCACAGCTACTCCTGTTGACATGCTCCTGGTATTTCTTCCAGTATTTTAGGTACTAAATCTCAAGGGAAAACCTATGTGTGACTCTGGATTTTTAATCAGCCACAGTATTTAGCACAGTGCTGTGCCCACACAGATATCCACTCATGTGAGAGCTTGGAAACAAGCCACAGCTGACACACTAGTAGGGAAATGCAGAGCATTAAGAGTGAAGCTTCTAGACTTCAAGGAAACAAGCAAACAAAAACCACCTTGACTTTATGTGTTTATACTAGTAGCATTTAGGCAAATTTTGTTTACATTATTTTTTAATCCCTGTAACATTATGATACGTAACTCACCATATTTATAAAATAAGTAAAATTTAGTGATACTACTTTCTATGATCTTTCATGAAAAAATATAGGTTAATAATGGGTTAAAGGCTTTATGTTTAGTTCTAAGGTAATAGTATATAATAGTTTCATTATTTTTAATGTTATTTTTAAGAGTTGGTAATTTACTAAAAATAAAATGCACAATGGGGCATTAATTACATATATATTTAGGTTCATTTGAATTTGGATCATATCACTTTATTTCTCTCTATAGAAAATTAAATTTCATTATGTTATAGAGAAAAGTAGTTTATGATTTTTAAAAAGGAGGTATCATTTAAGAGGACAGCATTGTGATGCCAATATATTTCTACAGTTTATATTTGACTTTGAAGTGTTTATGTTTTACTATGTTAGAGCTAATGATTAGGATCTAAATGTGAGGAGATCCCCAAAAGGCCTGTTTTTTCATATTAATGACCAGGTACAAAAAGGACAAATGAGTGATTTTACATCTATTATTGCAATTTATTTCAACTGATATGTGTATATATATATTAAAATGTCTTGTGATTCTAGAATAATAATATTTATTATTTTAAGAATTTGTTTTTTAATTTAAAGTACATTAAATGGTAACAAGGATACTTATAGTACTTTATAAATATATTATGTGTATATTAATAATATTTTGATAAACATATTTAATAATATAAAAATAAGAAAAATGTTTAAAATATATTAAGAGAGAATGCAGTTAGAATATCACACCATCCAAAGTGGATGTATTCTGGGGAATACCTGGATATATGTAAACACGTGTGGTCTGTGTGTGTGTTTATGAACACAATTTAATGAGTAAAAGTTTGGTAAAGGAATATTTGCTTACCATTTATGTTGGTTGGAGTGCACAACTTATGAAATATGCCTTTCTTCAGCAAGCTTACTAAAACAAAGTTTGCAGGTTCGTGGTAGTGCAGATGAGACACAAGGCTAGAATATCCGATGGGAATACATTCTTGATTCAAGTATTCCTAGAAATCAAATTTAACATGTTAACCTCAATCTCTAGATCTCAGAAATATCAAACAAGTAAGTTGTTAATAAAGGACAAACAATTTAGAACAGTGGAGTTAAGCATGTGTACTTTCATCTTAATTTAGTAGAAACAGATTTAAATCTTACCTCTCTGATTAAGAATTGTAAAGAATATATGAAGTAAAACTTTAACATGCACTTCATCTTTGGTTGCTTGAAGGACATCAGTGAATGTTGGAGAACTGATAATGCCTATACATATATATATCAAAATATCAAGTTAGATATTAAGCAAATTTTATAGTGTGTCTTCCAAATGTGATATCCAAAGGACAACTAAACATTTCTATTAAGAACGGAGTGCTACATATATTTATGTACTATATATAACACATGACATTTTATTAGGCATTAAATGTTTATTTATTATATTATTGTAATTATTATACTTATGATTAGGCATTCCATAGTGCTTTATATTGCATGCATATGTAATTGAAAGCAGTACAAAAAACTTGAGGGAAAGATAAATAATTACACCTTTATGCATGAGAGGTAAAAAGTAAAATAAAGTATAAAAATGGAAAACCAATCATTACGAATATTGCAGCATCTTTTGTTTTTCAACCATTAGTTATTTCTTTGAAATTTGTTTTTAAATCTTTGAGACCAGATATAATTACATGAAAATGTTTGTTTTCTGATATATATGAAACCCAGGGGTTATTATAACAGGACAAGCATGGGTTTAATTTTCCACATGTTTAATGTGTGAAATTGAAAGCAAGTTTCTACATTGAATAAGGGGACTATAAAGTAGAATCAAATGTTACAGTGAGTTTTTATTCTCTTTATAATTTTCTTCTCTTCAGTTTATGTAATTTATGATAAAATTGAGCTTACATGACTATACTTAATTAGGTAATTCAATAATATAAAACAGTGTACCTTTGCTTTGGCATCTTCCTTGTCATCTGCTTTGGCAACTAGGAGCATAAGTCTGAGAACCAAGGAAATGCTTAAAGGAAACTGACCCTTCAGTTTGGGCACATTCGACTTTAAGAGCCTTTCTATCTTAGGTAATGGAATGTCATAGAAGAACACATTTCCTGTAAGATCTTCTCCACGTCTTCCTGCACGACCAGACATCTAAAGAGATTATAACATAACACATTTAAGTCATTTCAAATCTTGCCTCTGTGAATGGTTAATGTCTGACTTACCTGTACCACAAGAAATAATTAAACTTCCAAAAATCTTGAGAGTTCTTTGTTGCTTGATATATCAAGTTTAGCAAAGTGTAAAATATTATTTTATTTTAAATATATATTATCAAAGTGTTTGCTATTTTAGTAACGACTATGTTTTAAGACCATGACTTTTAAAGTAGGGGTGCCCTGGCTGGGTGGCTCAGTTGGTTGGACTGTCGTCCTGTACACAAAAAGGTGGCAGGTTCAAGTCCTGGTCAGGGCACATACAAGAATCAAGCAATGAGGTCCTGACCTGGTAGCCTGGCAGCTCAGGTATTAGAGCATTGTCTGGATATGCCTAGGTTGTGGGTTTGCTCCCAGCTGGGGTGCATAAAGGAGGCAACCTACCATGTTTCTCTCTCACATTGATGTTTCTCCCTCTCTTTCCCCCACTCTTTTCCTCTGTTTCTAAAATCAATAAATAATTCCAATAAACCTATGAAAAACTACTTGACCTAATAAGTAAATTTATCCCCCAAAGTTTCAAAATAAACAAGGTCTTTTTTTGGCTTACTGAATAGATGTTCCCAACCCCTATGTATGCAAATATAGGCATGCAAAAATTGTATAAATACCTGTCGAAAGTTCAAGGCATCCAAAAAAACAGAATCTTCCATAAAAACAACAGATTTACATGGCATGTTAATCCCCAAAGCAAGGGTGGAGGTAGCTGTTATTACCTAAGGGTGAAGGGTAAAAAAAATAAACAAATAAATAAGCCCTGGATGGTGTAGCTCAGTGGATTGAGCGCAGACCTGCAAACCAAACGACCCGGCTTTGATTCCCAGTCAGGGCCCATGCCTGGGTTGCAGGCCAGTTCCCGGCTTTGATTCCCAGTCAGGGCCCATGCCTGGGTTGCAGGCCAGTTCCCGGCTTTGATTCCCAGTCAGGGCCCATGCCTGGGGCAGCCAGTTCGCTGATTCCCTCAGGGCCCATCCTGGGGCAGCGCCCCCCAGGGCACATGCCTGGGTTGCAGGCCAGTTCCCAGCCGGCGACGCAGGATAGGCAACCATACATTGATATTTCTCTCCCTCTCTCCTTCCCTTCCCCTCTAAAGATAAATAAATACAATTAAAAAAACATGTTTTAAATTTAAAAAATAATTAAAAAAATAAATTTAACCTAGAATACATTAATGCATGCATAGTCTTTAAATGTTGATTAGACTCTCTTAAAATCACTTTTCTTGGGGAAAAAGGCGAAGTCAATGTTACCAAAAATACAAACTACATTTTTTTAATAAGTCAGAGATTTGCACTCACTTTCATGTTTTCCTTAATATAATTATCTAGCCTTTTTAGATTGTAAAATGATGTGAAATCATAGTCATTCGGTAAATGTATAATTATTGTGCACAAATAAAAGCACTAGGTTGTAAAAGCAGTATTATTTTATACAAAAAAAATTTCTAAAAGTACAGTAGGGGGTAGTTTTGAAGAGAGGGAGCAGAACCCAGGTCACATCAAGCATAAAAAAACCACTCCAAGGAGTTAAGACTTTAAGAGAAAGGGGCATAACATGATATAATTAAGATTTATACAACTGCTTTGGTTAGTGTGTAAACCAATTTTAGGAGGAGAAGAATTGAAGCTGAACAATCTGATGGGCATTTTGATTTTTTTGGAGGTGACTTGATGGTGTATTGAGTAGAAAATAGTATTTTGAATTGAGATAAAATATATGACTAAAGGTATTTCCTAGGATTTCCCTTTCCTGTCTCAATTTAAAAATACTATTTTAACTCACATTTCTTAGTAAAAACTGAAGCTAACCAAGAATTCTTGATAAAACCAAGAATGTCTTATCTCTATTTTAGCCCAACCCCACTTGAGATTGCTTGTACTCTTTCTTACTTCTCTTTTACACTTTCTCTCTTCAAAATATATTTTTTTCTCTATCAGTTTAGCTCCACTACATAAGTTTGGCTAGACAGTGTTTTACTTATCTGTCTACTATATATTTTTTATTTCCATTATGACTTTTTTCTTTTTATATTTTTACATTGTAAAAATGTTCAATTAGTATACCTTTCTAATAGTGGAACCATCTGTACCTTTAGTAATAATTTTATCTTAACATATTTTGTTTAATATAAATATAAATTAATATAAATATTTAATATAAATATAGCTGCATCAGCTTTCTTTTGGTTTTTATTTACATTTCTTTTCCTTTCAATTCTTTTTTCTTCTTATGTTTTAAATATGTCCCATATAATCAACACCTAGTTAGATATTTTGTTAATTAGCTTTAAAAATGTTTCTCTTAGAGTCATTGAGTTCATATGCATCAGTTTATTTAACATAATTATTATATTTGATGAACTGGATATCATTTTATACTCATTGTCACAGTGTTTCAATATCATTTTGTCTGCTTTCTTGGCTATTTTTTAATTCATTTGGATGTTTTAGTGCCATTTACTTTTCCTCTGTAGTTTGGAAGTTGAACACTCAAATTTTGTTTTTTCAGTGAGTATTGACAAACTTACATAATCTGTACTTATCTTTTAAAGGTCCAAAATTAATCAATAATTTTATACTCCTTTAGACATTTCCTCAATTAACCCCCACTTCCAAGACATACACTACTGTAACATATTTTTCCTTTTTAAAAAGTTCCAAGTGGATATTTTTATTCAGATAATAAAACTTTTAATTTAACTATATTTGCATTTTTCTAGGATTACTCTCAATGTATTTTTAAACAACTCTCATTTTTCTAAAATTACTTCCATTCTTTCTAATTAAGAATTTTCTTTTAATTGATGAGGCAAAATGGTCAAAAATCTCTGTGTTTATTTGTCTGAAATTCTCCATTTTGCCCTCATTCTAGAAAAATAATTTGGCTGTATATAAAAACTAAATTGGAAAGTATTTTCTTTAAATTTTTAAGATAAGATTTCACTTACTTCTGGATTTCATTTTGCTTTTGACAAGTCAGAAGTCACTCACCTACTCTGTGAATCTATTTTCTCAGAGTGCTTTTAATGTGCTTTATCTTTAATGCCATTTTCTTATACAATATAGTACATATTAAAACATGTAAAATAAAACTAACAGAACTACAAGGAAAAATAAAAATTTACATTAACAGTAAGATTTTAACACTTTCTAACTCATAATTCTACCCTCATAATTGATAGAAGGTATAAAAAAAAGGTCTAATAATACAGATTTAAATTAAGAAGTCTCACAGAACACTGAAACCAGGACACACAGAACACATACTTGAGTACATACAGAACATATTGCTAAATAAACTTTATTTTTAGAACCCTTTTAAATTTCCAGAAATTTGCGAAGATAATAAAGAGTTTCTATGTTCTGCACCCAGTTTTTTCTATTATTAATATCTTAAATTGGTCCTGTACATCTGTTACAACTAATGAAAAAATATTGACACAGTATTATTAACCAAAGCTCATATTTTCCCCAGATTTCCTTGGTTTGACCTAATGTCCTTTTTTAGGATCCGCCCAGGGAACCATATGATGTTTGATAGGCATGTCTCCTTGGACTCTTTGATTGTAAGTTTCTCAGGCTTGTCTAAAGGAAATCAGGGCTCTTTGGACACATGACTTATTCTAAGGCTGGGCAAGAAATATATAAGATGAGTGAGCATCTTACTTCACCAGAAATAAGGAAGTACTCAAAAACAAACAACTCACAATGCATGCCAGAGGGTTAGAGAAAGCAAGTGAAAGAGCTCCCAATTGCTGAAACGGGAACAATTTGAACAAGAACATAGGTAAACCAGCATTGAGTTACATCCAAAGTATAAAATAAATATTCATGTGTCCATACCGACATAAATAAATGTTGTGTTCATAAAGGAATGAAGGAGAAGAGATGCAACTCTTATACAGAATAATTCTAAATAATTTATGTAGATAGTCCAACTATAAGGAGAAAGTATAACTGAACTACCTACTCCTTAAGTGTGGGTTGTGCATAGCAGCTTCCTTTCAAGGAGGGCAGTACAGAAAAGGACAATAAAAAGTTATTTTATAGTGAAAAAGTCTAATAAATATGATCTTGGCCAGATGCTCAAGATGAATATCAATAGTGATGTCATGTCCATAGTCTATAAGCCCAATACAATATGATGAGAATGACATGTTACCTCTGAGGTCTTCCTACAAGCAACACATAGACCTCATGTGATCATGAGGAAGAACATCGGTGAAATCCCAGTTGAGTAATATTCTACAAAAATATCTGATCCATTATCCTTATAACCATCAAGATCTTCAAAAACAATGCAAATCTAAGAAACTTTCACAAGCAAGAGAGCCTAAAAAGGTCTGACAAATAAATAAAATGTTGCATCCTGGGTAGGATCTTGGAACAGAAAAAGGACATTAGAGGAACAACTGAAGAAGTCTGAATAAATAATGAACTTTAGTTAATAAAAACAAATCAATATTAGATAGTTATAACAAATGTACCATACTAGTGTAAAATTTTTAAATGGAAAATTGGGTGCATGTCATATAAGATACTCTCTGCACTGTATTCATGACACCATTTTTTAACCATAATACTTAACATTTGTCAAGGTGAAGTAAAAAAATGGATTAAGCCAGGAAAGAAATTTAGCAATGTATTTCTGGAGCTTGAAAATAACTTTGTTCTTTGAAACAGTGATGTCACTTTGCAGAGTCAGTGGATCTCATCAATAATCCAAACTAGTGACATGTTTATAAACAAAAATTTCAACATTAGCAGAATGTTTAAATGAATTTTACATATATTATGATGCACTCATAAACTGTTCATTATGTAATGCTAATTCATAATAGACAATTATATACTGTTTGGTAAAGCAGACCCTAATTGTATATACATTACATATTAACTGTATAAAATATATCTGAAAGAACAGAATATGCTAAAATGTTAACAGAACATCCCTCCAAGTGGAAGGATTATGTCAGAGTACATTTTTTCCCTCCTAATGAGGCCTCTGCTCAAAGGAGTGAGGGCACTGCTTTCAGGAAAGTTATCCTCCAAGTTCACCAACCTTGACGTGCTTCAGTCTGAAAAGCATCTCGACAACTTGTCTTTGTTTATATTCCATTGAACCATGATGATATCCGATGCCCCGCCTTAACAGACCGTGCAGTTTGTAGCTTTTTCTTGTTCCTCTCAGTCTGTATAAAATCTTTGATAAAGTCTGAAATATCCCAAACAAAGAGTCTGCAGTATCAACTTGAAGCATTTATCCTTCAACTTAACCATGATGCCATGTATTAAAAAGCAGTTTAGAAATCAATGCAGAGTTGGACACACTTCTAAAAATAGTTGTGGCCAGAATCAAAAGCTTGTTTAAACTACAAAATGCCCAATATATGGATGGTATTTTAGTAGAATGGTTTCATTGTACCTGATATTCAAAGTTTGATATCTGATACAAGAAAATGTAACCCAACTTTACACACAGCAATGCTTTCTTCATCTATTTGTTTGTCAGGAACATGCACCCTATTTCCTTCCCCATACGCACTGAGTGGTTGAGATGTACCCTTGGTTTCAAACTGTGGAATCACTGGTTATGGCTCTAATGAACTGAACTAAGGTCTCCAGATCACCCTCTGAAAATGAGGAGACACCGAAGGGTGAAGATAAGAGAGATGAGGGACCAGAGTGCCCTGAGGCTGGTACCAAAACCCATCCCTGCCTAAATTCTCAGCTTAGTCTAATTTGCTACCACCCTAATATTGCTTTATTTTTGCTGTTAATCCAAATCTACCATATTTTTTGGACTACAAGATGCACTTTCTCCCCAAATTTGGGAGGAATTATCATTGTTGATGCTGCTGTTGAGTTCTGCTTACATTTACATTGGTAAAATATTATGTTATTTATGTTATAAAATATGTTACCACATTTTTTTTGCTTCAAACATTTTTTTCCTATTTTCCTCCTCTAAAACCTAGGTGCATCTTATGGTCTGAAAAAATATGTAACTTATTTCGTTTCTTTTTCATGTCATGTCTGATTGGTGTTGGTTGTCCAGTCATGTCTGATCCATGTTGGTTGTCCTCTTTCTCTCTTTCATTCTTTGTGTCTTGTCTATCTTTTTTGTGTGTTATCTTTATATCTGTCACTGTTTCTCTCTCTTTCTACCCCTTGCCCTCCCTCCCTCCCTCTTTCTTTCTCTCCCTCTCTCTGTCTCTTTCCCCCTCTCTCTGAAACTCTGTGGGTCTATTTCTATATACTTTGTCTGTCTGTCAGTCACTATTATTGCTCCTCTCTTTTCGTTCTCTCTTTCATCCTTTTTCTCTCAATCTGCCTCTTTTTCTCCCTCTCTCCCATAACTTAAGGAAATAAAAAGGCATAAAAAAGTAATAACTACATTTCTCTGACTACTACATGAATGATTAGGTCAACCAACAAACATTTAATGAGCACCCATTGTTCAGGGTTTCTCTCCATGTTTTAGAGTTACATTTCTGAATGAGGCGTGGCATAAGTGAGAAGTGTAAGACATCATGACTCCACAGTTTACAGTTTGAACAACTAGGTTCCAGACAATTTAAAAAAACAGATAAGAAAGAACTTCCAGAAGAAAGACAAATGATTTTAAGGTTCTTTTAGCTAATTGTTGCTTAAGCCTATAGCTCAGAAAAATGATCTTACATTTACTTTTAATATATCTGTCTACATATAGAAATAGTTATAACTAACTTCAACTAGTAAATGCAATTTCATAGGTATCAGAGTTATACTTTGGCACAATTCTTTGAGCTGCTTTTAATGACTGTATAAACTCAAGCAAATTATCTTAATTTTTCTAGCCTCAAACTTTAGGCTCCAATTCATTGTTTCAAGATTAATTTAGATTATGTTGTATGTTTTATAAATTCCATATAACAATATAGACACTATGTAGACTTTTATGTGTTAAAGTGTGTTTCTCCAAAAATTCTTATGTCAAAGTCTTAACCCCCAGTACCTCAAGATGTGACTGTATTTGAATAGAGGTGCTTTACAAAGTAATTCAGGTAAAATGAGGTCATAAGGATGGCCTCTCATTCACTGTGACTAGTATGCTTACAAGAATAGAAAATTTCAACAGATATACATAAAATGGAAGAAGATATGAAGATGCAGAATGAAGATGGCCTCCTGCATGCCAAGGAGAAAGATCTGGAACAGATCCTTCCCTCACAGTCCTCAGAAGGAACGACCCTGCCAACACCTCGATCTCCAACTTCCACTCTCCAGAACTGGGAGAAAATAAGTATCAGTTGTTTAGGACACTCGCTCTGTGGCCCTTTGTTATGGCAGCCCTAGTAGGTCAACATGCCCACCTGGACACCTGACTGTATCCTTGTTCCTTTTGCCTTACCTGGTTATCCACAACTGTATGGTCTGCATAAGTACAGTCTGGAGTCACTGCATAATACTTCTTAAGGTTTTTCTTCATTTCCTTTATTTCAGCTCCCAATACAATGATTCTTTGAATCCTAGAACCTGAATCTGAATTAAAAAATCTAAATATAAAAATATTGAAAATCAGTAAGTATATTGATTGTAGCTTGTTTCTTTTTATTTTTTTAAGTTTGAGTTTATATACATAAATACCAGATGAAAAGAACTGCAGATAATTCAAACCTGAAACACAATGTGCCTATTAGAGAATATTCGTCAGGCCTTAATTACCTCAATTGTCTCTTTTATCGTCTTCCCATTAAAGTATATTTGACCCTAACACAAAATAGAAAAACCTTCTGTACCTCTTCTATCCCTCACGCCAACCAAATTTTAATTTATTTTCTACATCCAAAGGAAGAAATCTTTTTAAATTGTTTATTTATTTATTTTAGAGCAAGGGTTAGCATGAAAGATAGGGGAGGTACAGAAGGTTTTCTGTACCTCACTTCCACCAGGGCCGCATCAGCTTCACAGTTGCCCTCAAAGGACCTAACGTAACTTCAGGACTGTATGATGTAACTACTCCTTAACTAGGTATAAGGAGCTTGGCGCTGCGACCAGGTAGAAACAAGGTGGAGGGCTGGATTCGGCCTGTGGGCCTTGTGTTTGCCGCCTGTGTTTTAGAGAACAAGGAAGGGAGAAAGGGAAACATCAATTTATTTTCAGTGGAACAATATTTTTGACATTAAATTTGATAGAAAAATTAATTTTCCTAATAACTGCATAAAATGCAAATTCTTTATAGTTGAAGAAGTATAGAATAATTTTATCTGCAAGACTGTCTTCTTTCTAACATAACCTGTAATTGATTTTCTGCACATGCCAAAATGAACCTGGAGGTATATCGGGGTACTTCTTAATAAGTCATTACTTGGATAGAACGGCCCACAGAGGGTGACCAGCTACTGGGCCACTGAAACAGGTCTGCATCAGCCATCCTACCTGAATTTTCACTCTTCTAAGACTCAAAAGTATTCTGTATGACCACTCCCAGCTCATGAAATAGTCAAAAAAATAATTTACTGCATTATGGTTATAATTTCTTTCAGGAGTCAGTAGGGCAAATGCTAGAAAAGAATCCTGAGTGAGGGTGAGCATTGTGTAACAACAATCAAAGTTATGTAACAAAATTCCTACACCATGTTTCCCAGGTTAATTTATACACTAGGATGAAATGAAAATAAAGGCATTTCTTCACATATTTGTATCTTTTATATTAAGACAATAATGGCATAAAATACAAAAAAATCATATTTTCTGTATTATATTAAAAGACAATTATGCTAGTGAACTTGTTTGACTAATGAGCTATTTGACATTTTAATGTCTATCTTTTAAAAGTGAATGTAAGCAATTATACAATTTATTTCTAGCAAATTGGCAAGTTACAATTCCTGAAAAACAAATGTATAACTTGCACTTACAAGAAAAAAGAAAGGAGCTAATACAATGACTAAAATTATTGCAAGTTATTATATAATTTTTTGGAATATTATAAAATACTTTAAAAAGTCCTTTCCTGGATATCCTTCCAAAAGTGAAGTATTAGTCAATTAACTTGATGTGTCATACAAAAGAAACAAAAAATCACATCATCACATTATAAAAAGTTTGAATTATAAAAAGTTTATTAAAAACTCATACAGTTTATTTTAAACTTTAAAAATTCACAACTCAAGTACAAATACTCACGCAGCACAGTTTCTTTTTTGAGACTTTACCACTTTCTGTAGTTTCTTGTTCAAATTGTTCTTCTCTCTTTCAGAATTTGGGTCTTTATCAGTATTCCGTTTGATTATCGAATTTGTAAGAAGTCGTGAAGCTGATAGTTCCACTGAGTGAATGTTGAATCTAAATTAAAAATTTATCAGCATCTTTAAAAATTTCATCTTCACATCAATCCTATGTGTGTGTAAATATATACACACACATATATATACACAGATATACTCATATATTTTATAGATATATCTCATATATATGAGAGAGAGACATTACATATAACCATGTAAGTTTTACTCATAATCTGCCTTTAATTTGTTTGTTTGCTTTGGAGATTTGTCTCAAATGGAAGGGATTAAATTAGATCTAGATTTCCTCCTCTCTCCTCCTGGTGGAGAACACCTACACTTTGAGACCCAACCCCTGTGTAAAAATATCTATAACCTCCCTAGCCCATGGATGTCTCTTTCCACTAAACTCTGAAGCACGTAATGCCATTATCACATATTTACTTCAAATGTATATTATGTTATACCTTTTAGGGACAGACCACTTTTAAATTGATAATTTACTATTTTACTGTCTTATGTTCCCAGAGGTGACAAGTGTCTCCTCATATTTACCATTAACATTTACAGAATGCCTTAAATACTGAAATATTACATAACTCTGTATATTGTGACTAGCTAAACTATTGAATCTAACTGTTTCAAGTTCACATACAACCACTCTTCTTAGAATCAATTCCTTATAGGCAGTCAAGTCACAGATTGTGTCTGCATCCCTGAGTCCTGGGCCCAGCACCAAGAAGCAAAGTGAAATGAATTGAGTGTGAGCGCATTCCATCCATATAAATTTGATTAAATATTTCCCAAAGGAAAATCTGTATTTTAAGTGCAATGAAAATATGATTGCTAATTATATGATATTGTCACTAAGCCCCAACTAACCTTTCTTTTAGCGCTTTGAAGGGAAAAATAGAAAAAGGGAGATGAGCAGACTGAAGGTCTTTCCTTTTTAATGAAGAATTTAGATGTAACCACTTTTGCAAAGAACCCAGAGAACAAATACAGCGAGGTCATACATGTGCATATGGAATGTATGTGTGTTATCATACAGGCTGTCTTTTGGCAAGTGCACATTACATTTTACCCTTTTCCCTTTATTTTACTTTGATGGTATAAAGAACTTTTCTAATAATTGATAGGACAGAGAATTCTACTGCACTAAACTATATGGTTAGGTTTTGAAGTATAATTGACTGAGAGGTGTTCCTCTCATCCTATATCCAGCTTGATATCATAAGTATGACATAGAGTTAAAATTTCTTAAAATTCTATTATGAATCAGAGGTTATCCACATTATTGCTTTCAAAAGTCTTCAAGTTCATACAACATTAAATATAAAGCTAAGTAAATGTTACTTACGAAAAGAATATTGCAGGCAGCTTATTCATTTCTTTAAGTTTTTCCACAAAATGGGGAAACATTCTTCGCTTTTCAGTTTCTGCACAATCAAAAGTCTGAGGCTTAAGGTACTTTAGTAACTGATTCACCTGAATAAAATTATTATAAGTAAGATAAATCATGAAATATTTACAACTGTGAAGAAAAGATGACACAGTCAGCTAGCGTTTGAAACTGAAAATCAGAGTGGTTAGGCTTAGTAAATTTTCATGGAGTAAGCTGGGAATCATATTCAATTTATGTACATTTTTAAATAAAATAAGAATCTATCAAAACTTGAATGATGTATTTCAATTATGTTATAATCATGCCTATGGTGTTTATGGAAGTGCACAGAGATTGTCACACACTGATCTTGGCTATTAACAGGGTGAGCACAGGGCATAGGAAGCAAGACTTTAACTTAAATAGAGTTAAAATTGCTCAAAATTCTACAAATACCAATTGTATGTTATGAATTTGTACAAATTCATCATCAAATTCATGTTAAGAGGGGAGGAAGGACTGAGGAGGCTATTATAAACAAGAGATGCAAAGCATGGTTGTCCTAAGAAAACTAAGAAATGTGAACAAATATAATTATGGAAGAGAATTCAGCTAACTCCCTGAGGGTTTAGGAACCTAGCTGTGAGAGACACAACAAATCAACCACTAAATCAAAAATATCTATAACTGTTGAGGATAGAGAAGTGTGTAGTTAAATATAAGCTCAAGGAGGAATAAAACACCAGGGGAACGCTTCCAATTTTCCAGAGTATATGTATTTTGGAAAAAATAAGATATGTTTTCTTATTTTTTGTTTATGTTTAATGACTCAATTTATACATCATAAATCTATCGTAAAAAATTTGAACAAGCTTTTCTCCATTCTCTCATTTTTTCTACTTCATCTGTTGACTCACCCTGAAGAAACACATCTCAGAGCCATCTGCAGCTCTTCGAAGGTAGAGATTAATTCACTCCGCAAGAACCTGGTGACCCAGCCTTCCCCGGCCTGGCCTGCAGCCTGGGAAAGGGCTCCCACTAGACCTCAAGAGCTGCGGCTTCAGTAGAGGAAGCCAAATATTTTTAAAAATTGCTGTGGTACAGCTTACTCTGCCTTTAAGTGAGAAAGGTTGTTTTCTTTATGATACCATTGCCCAATGATTTGAGAAAAAGCAGTTATGTTTTTATCAGTGGGAAGTCTATATACTATAGGTAAAATGGAATAGAAAGAGGTAAGTCAGTGCATATGAAAAGTGCCAGTGGAGTTTCCAGAACATTATGGCAATCTAGTAGGATATATATATTCTCCTTCAGGAGTGTGAGAGGAATTCTCTGAGAACAAAAAGAGAAAGCAAGAGTTCTGCTTCTTTCTGCATTTGTTACAGGTGAATGAGTCCCTACTGGAACCCACCTTATTGCAGGTAACAACTGCCACTTTGAGGAAAAATACAACCAAACAATAACCCGAAAAGCGAAACAAAAGCAGACAGGTTCTGGAGGAGAGTCTACAGGGAAAGGAGTGGAGAATTACAGCTTCCTGGCTTTTAACCGGGGGACATACACCTAAGCCAAAATGTTGACAAACCCTTTTCCACCCCCATCCTGCAATCTTTTTTGTAAAGAAACAGAAAATTCCGCTAAGAACAATAGCCACTAACATGAGTAGAGAATTCCAGAAAGGAGAGAGCTACAAAAGAAAATTCCTAAAATCTGTGAATAAACTAAGCCCAAATTTATCTATTGACCCCCGCACAGGCCAAATAAACTTCATACAGCCCAACTAAGGATGAAAAAATGGAGATTTTAGCTGTCACTCAAAAGACAGGATTTGTAATTTGAGTTTAAGTTATAATTACCTTCTAAGATAAATTTTAAAAAATTCTCCAGAGGGCTATAACAGAATACAGAATCTCCACAATATAAGATTCACAGTCCAAAAATAACAAAAAAGAAGACAATCCCACAAAATAACAACATATAAGGAACAAGGAAAATATGACCCCTTCTCAAGAGGAAAGAAAATTATCCCAGATAATCATAAAAGATTATAAAGATGTTGGAATTAGCTGATAAGGACTTAAAAGTAGATCAATAACCTCGGAATAAAAAGTTCTGAAAAATATAAATAAATGCGTATAGTGCCAAGAGAGCCCACAAAGGAAAAGATATGGCTAAAAAAAAATCAACTAGAGGAGTAGAAAAAAAAACACAAAGAAAACTTAAAAAAGAAAGAAATTTTGAAACATGACACTTATAATAAAAGTTTTTCCTATATATAGTAAAACTGGAGTTTCTGAACAAACATCCTTCCATGAACTTCAGATAAACAAGAAATCATCACAGATGCCAAAACAGGAGAAAAGATTGTCACCAACTATAAGACTAAAATACGTCAACTCTGTTAAATATCTGCTGAGAGGGATCTCATTTCACAACTGGAAAATGTGTCGATGTCCCCAACTGTGTAAAATTATAACATTAATCAAAGCCATATCAAACCACAGAGAAATGGTATAAGTGAAAAAGCAAAACAACTTTAAGTTAATCAGGTCAAATAATTGGGATAAAGTAATATTTATAACTGGTCTTCTAATTAAAAGTAATATAGAATAAAAATATTATAATATAGCAAGAGAAAAAGCTGGCCACATAAATATTGACTAAAAGCAGAATTCAGATTATGATACCAGAGGATTCCTGGTAAAAAAATAAAATTAAGAAATAATCTTATTAATTTACTCATTCAACTGATATTCTATATATACCCTACTGGTCTATAAATAATATTTTTAAATATGCCTAAAATTTAAAAATTAAGAAAAGTAAATGTTTAAAACTAAAATTTTAGCTGAAAAGAATGTAAAATACCCAACAAAAATTATTAGACAAGGTGCAATAGATGTGAAGAGAATTTTCATGTTATGAATGGCATCACTCATTGACACGAGGCACATCATAAGCTCTAAGGGAAAGAAATCTATGACTTGTGCCTACTGAAGAGGATATTGGATGAAACTAATTAGAGCTTAGGGATTTGCCACCTCCTAAAATATTGTTAGTCAAGAGGACTAAGTAAAGTTAAGTTTGATCTAGGCTGGTATCCATATATGCCAGTGTGTTCATATGAAATTGCAATGATAAACTAAAGGTTTTCAACCCTGTTTGCACATTAAAATTTCCTAGAATCTCTTTAAAATTCCAGTGCTCCAGCCACATGAGGTCAATCAAATGAGAATTTATAAGTTGCATTTTTTATAAGCAGCTACTGTTGAAAACCTCTATTTTATATAATAGCAATTCTTGACATTTGGTTGGTTTTCAGGCTCACAGGTCAGGTAGTCTGCCCAAGCCAGTGTGCAATTAAAATTTTAAAAAATGGGTTCCTTCTCACATGGAAAGAGAATGCAGAAAATAGGGATGGATTAAAATTTTGCTTTCATTTCCTGAACTGATCAAGAAGTAATCATATTTTAACCATGACTTTGGGCCCCAAGTAGTGAAGATTGTTTGATATTACATGTCAGTAAATGTAAATGAGTGGGACCATGTTCTTTTTCTTCTAACAGTCTGGTGAATCAGCCCTGGGTAACTATAGATATGGGCCACTGCTTATGCATTGAAATGCTGTAGTTCCCATCTTCAGGAGGTAAAGTATCATCGGGATTTTATCATCACAAATAAGTAAAGTCAAAAAATACAACCGACAGTAAGTAACATAAATTAAATACTACTTGTAATTTCTCTTATCTTTCTAGTTTATTGGCAACAGACAGAAACTTGTTGGTCACCTATTCATATAAGAAAGCATATAAAAGGTCTTCTTTGGGGAAATATTGGAGAAGAAAGTCAGGGTTATGACCCAGTTGTATCAGAAATCAGAGAAGTCCTGTCTTCTATGAAAAGCAATAGCCCAACTTGAGATTCAGGAAAGACATGGCACCAGCATGTGTGGGTTGTCCAAAAAGGATCTCAATCAAGTAGTGATTCTTTGCATTTTTCCACATTTAGCTGACTAAATTTAGGCTAGAATAGCAAAGCATGGCAATGGGGTATTCATCTTCAAATCCTCAAGAGCTTTATGGGACATTCTCCTGAACCTAAAGTCAGATCCTTTTCATATTAATAAGAAATTAGAAGAAAATCCTAAATGGTTGTAACTACCTTGCTTGGGTCCAGCTGAACCCAACGAATCATTTCTTTTTTCAGTTCCTCTTCATATTTCTTGGCATCTGTCCTCATAATGACTATTTTATTCTTGAAGCAGCTGAATTCTTCAGGTTCTAACTCCTTGAAAATGAAGACCCACAAATACCAAGTAAAGTGAAGTCATCACCCCTTCTACAAGTTTCCAAACACAAGTTTTCCGTTATGAAGGAAAACTCTCACGCAGTCTTTTTCATCCATATTCAGTTAGAGTTAACTGCACATAGGCTGACAGTTCTGCTCTCTATATAATGGTTATACACTATTCTGTTTTCATTAGAACATACCAACACCTACATGCTTTTAATACTGCACTTAGCCTTAGAGGTAAAAGAAATAAAAATGTATAAAATGCTTATTTTAAAAATACATATTTTTACCATGGTGAGTTACTATTCTAAGAATTTTACAAATAGCAATTCAATTAACTTCATAATTCCACAACAAAGTAGTTTTTTTGGTAGGGAAAATATGGATAATAAAAAAATAGAACTAATTTGCCCAATTCTGGAGCATTGTGGCTCTGGAATTTAAATTCTTAACAATAAAATATACTGCCTTTATCCATACCAGAATAAAAGCCATCCATGAACTTGCTCATTATTCATGGACTGCCACAGCCAAAGAACTAAGACATCAGCCATTGAGTGTATACGTTCACACACCTGCATTCTTGTCCATTCTGGCCAAACATGTACCATTGCATCATATAGCAGTATGCTTTCCCGTGGAGAAAATCCAAGGTCTAAAGGGATTCCATATTTCTCTAACTAAAGACCATAAAATACAGAATTATTAATTTTGTATTCCATCTACAGATTTTTAACAATCTGGTACATGCACATTTTCCAAAGTGGTTTTTACTTACATGCTTGACTGTAAGTGCAGCACATGGGTGATAGTGTTCAATGATAAAGTCATTATCCTTTAGGGAACACACATACTTTTCCAGGTCATTGTATCGCTCTTTGTACCATACTGTAAGTATAGGATTGAAATGATCATTAAGATTTGTTTGCTTTCAAAACAATGACCTAATTATGATTTTACAATTACAAGCAGGCCTAGGAAGACCCATGCATGAGCTCATTGCCAATAAAATGTTACAAACAATGCTAGTCATTTGAAAGAACTTTGAAAGGGGATTCAATGTCCCTATACTGCCTATCTGTGCTTTACTTTTCTTCCTGGCCTTAATCTTCCATTATATTACCATTTTTCAGTTCCTGGTATTTAATTATGATTTTCTAATTTATTTCACTATGTATTCTTGTAAAGTGTGCCTTTGTATAATGGGGCATGGGGTAAATAAATAATATAGACACAATTAATTAGGGACATTGAGTATCACTATTACTATTATTATTATATCATCTCTCTATCTTTAGGAATAAAATTACCAGGTCAAAGAAAGAATATGTATATTCTATTTTTCTGTTCATTTTCTTTAATTGAAGAAACTGATAGTCTAAATATCCCTATTAATATTACACTGGGCTTTATTTTTTTCTTAGCACATACTACTAGTTGGCATGCTACTTATTTTTTATTATTTCTTATTTTATTTACTATTCATTTTGTTAAGCAATGTCCACATGAAAATTTAAGCTCCAGAAAAGCAATGATTTTTCTGCTGTAATCCTAGGGCCAACAATGGGACCTGATGCACAACAGGCATTTTCATATTTGTTAAGTGAGCTCACTAGTGTCTCATGAGTATCCGCATCTCTTAGCTGAAAAGTAGCCAGAAAAATAGAATTTTATACTACTTCATAGAATTCATATAAAAACAGTCACAAGTATATAATGTATAGCAACATTCATTAATTCTGCTGAATTAATAAATTCATTAATTTAGAGTACATATAAGTGTACTCTAAATGTACTCTAAAATGTTAGTAAAACTTTTATAGTACATATAAAATAAAAGACACCATGATATAGATTTAAAATGTTTTATATATCATTTAGTTTATATTATCTATTTACTTAGATATATATACATATATGTTTAAAATGTCTAGTGCTTTTGAAGGAAAATAAGACATATAAAAATAGTTACAATAGACAGTAGGAAATGTCATAACATCAGACATACTATGGGGCTTGAGCTAAAGAATTAAGGTGGTATTTGAGCTGTGCCTCTAGACAATACCTCTTAAACAATGAGTAGATAGAATTTGGTCAAGTGTGGATGAAAGATTATTCCAGAAAAAGAAATTTATAAAGCAAAGGCAAGTTCTGAGAAACAATGAATAATCTAAATGTCAGGAAAATTCATGAAGAGAAATATTCCTGTGGTATGAAACCAGGATGATAGACCAGAACTAGCCCACACGTAAAACAGGCTATTTTGAAGCACTGGTTTTTTTAGCAGAACAAAACTGAACTGCCTTCTAGAAATGTTTTTGTTTTTAATGTTTTCTTACAAAATAAGGAGTGAAACTTTTATCCATGCTACAGTTCTGCCCTAAATCACACTGAATAATGCAGGAATTCGCAGTGTTTTGAAACAGATAATCTTTGGAAAGACTTTGATAGTCCTCAGGTTTATTAGATCCACACCTGTTAGCTGTGTGGCATTCAGCATAACAATCTTCTAGAGCTAATATTCTTGCTCCATTTCCACTGTACATTAAGACAAAATTGATTCCCTTTCAGAGTTGTAATGAGAATCAGATTGACTTATACATATATGATGCCCCAATATGATACAAGCATGCAGGGCTCTCCTTCTCCTAGGTTAAGATCATACCCAGTCTAACTCTGTACGACGGCTTTTCCACTCCTTTTCTTTGCTGTTTCCTGGCAACTTTTGAGGCATCTTGCAATGAACCAGAATTTTCCATTGTGCTTTCAACATGTTGCCAGTATCTTTTAATTAACACCAACCATCTAGTTATTTAAAAAAAAAAAGAAAGGTATTATCATCGCAGGAAAAGCTATATCATTTGTTTCCTGAGAAAAATCATTAAAATTGATTCTAAGAGAATAAAAATCTTCTCAACTTTAGACATATTAAAACTATATTTGTATTCCCATAGTTTAATTAGTTGTTATTTTCATGCAATCACCAAGAACTGAAACTTTGAGGTTTCTTATGAAATTCATTGATGCAATAAAACAGTTACATCCATTGCTACAATATGGGTTGATTCATTTTGAAAACACGTTTGGTGTTTTGTACAGGAAAGTAGTGTGCATAGTAGATTGGAAGAATAGTTCTAACCTGCCACATGCTGCTCTCTAGGAATCTAAATATCAAGCTATAAACAGGAAAATTAAACAACCCTTACACAAAGTGCTTCAAGAACCAGGTATATAAATTATATCTATCTAGTCAAAGGATGGGAGCAAATGTTTTCTAGTTACATATAACAAAATTTAAAGAAAATAAGTCTGGCTTGAAGAGTTTTTATTGTTTTCTCCTAGAGATTACTCTTTAAAAATGTACCAGATTATTAATTATTACTATTATCATCACTAATAGCAATAACAATGAATGCAAAATGGAGGCTTACTCGGTGAGATGCTCAGGATTACTGATAGTAGCAGAGAGAGCCAGAAAGGGACATCGGATCATGACGAGGAGGTGCTCCCAGACTTCTGCTCCAATTTCTCCCCCGAGACAGTGAACCTGGCAGTGTGGTTACACAGACTCAGTATAAAACAAGTTACAATTTTCCCCAAAATATTAATACATTTTGCCAGCAGAACTTATTATTTCTTTCACTCTTTACATTCAGTAATGTTCATGCACCCCTGACAAAGTTGGTTAAAGAATCCCAGGATGAATTGGAGAATTAAACTGGGTTTGAGGACAATGTATTGAGAGATGACTTGCACTATGATACATGGTGACACCTGAACTGTGCAAAGATTATCACACACCATGATAATAATACTCATAAGCAAGAACAAATTAAGCAAAAGAATACACTGTGGAAGTCCTGTTTACAAATGAAATACTGGATAAATTATAGCAATTGCCACAAAAGGTAAGATGAAGAAAAATCTCTATAAAAATAAAGCATTTACTCGTGTGTCACTAATTCTATCACTGAAATGCAGATAAAAATGTTTGTGGAACAAATTTATTTGATGTAAATAAAACTCTTCAGGCTTCAGTTCATAAATATACATAGCGCACTTATTTTGTATTAGTTAGAAATCCAGAGAAAGCCTAGTCCCCTGATTGTAAAGGGAACAGAGTAAGTGCAGTGATTATTAGCTTATTTATTACTAGTTTGCCACAATGAAATGGGAAATTAATAATAATATATGAATTGGGGAGGGAATTTCAGGGAGAAAAGGGGAAGAATTTATAGGAACTAGTATAAAGGACACATGGAGAAAAACTAAGGGGGGTGGAAATGGGAGGGAGGTGAGGAGCACTGGGGGGTGGGCTGGGATGGGAGTAAAAGACAGAAAACTGTACTTGAACAACAATTAAATTAAAAAATAAAATAATAAAATAAAAATAAAAAAAGAAAGCCAGAACAACTTTTAAAAACTTGATTTTAATTAATTTCTGTAAGATCTCAGAATCTTTTATTTAGTAAAATAAAGAGTTTTTGGGTAGAGTCTATAGGCTTTTCCATGTACACTATCATGTCATCTGCAAACAGTGACAGTTTTGTTTCCTCCTTTCCTATTTGGATGCCTTTTATTTCCTTTTCCTGCCTGATCGCTGTGGCCAAAACTTCTAATACTATATTGAACAGAAGTGGTGACAGTGGACATCCTTGTCTTGTTCCTGATCTTAGTGGAAAAGCTTTTAGTTTTTTCCCATTGAGTATGATATTGGCTGTAGGTCTCTCATAAATGGCCTTTATTATATTGAGGAATGCTCCCTCTATTCCCACTTTGCTGAGTGTTTTTATCATAAATGGGTGTTGTACCTTATCGAAAGCTTTTTCTGCGTCTATTGATATGATCATGTGGTTTTTGTCTTTGCTTTTGTTTATGTGATGAATTACATTTACTGTTTTGCGAATGTTGAACCATCCTTGCATCCCTGGGATGAATCCCACTTGGTCATGGTGTATAATCTTTTGGATATATTGTTGGATGCGATTTGCCAATATTTTGTTGAGGATTTTAGTGTCTATGTTCATCAGTGATATTGGCCTGAAGTTTTCTTTCTTTGTTGTATCTCTATCTGGTTTTGGAATTAGGATGATGCTGGCTTCATAAAAGGAGTTTGGGAGAAATAGATAAAAAAATGTACTTGAAAAGTAACTAAATAAAATTTATTATAAAAATAAATAAATAAAAAAGTAAAATAAAAGGGGATCATAAAAATAAAAAATAAATAAATAAACAGTAAACTTTTATTTAGTAAAATTTGGTAAAATATACATATCCTTATATATATTACAGCCTACATTTTACAGAATTAATACAAGAGATAAAAATCAATTCAATGTCAAAAGTCTTGTTTATACTTTATTTCTGATTTTTACTGAACTCTTTATCCTTCGTGAAGCACTCACTTATCCACTATGAAGTAGGCATTGCGGAGAGGTAAACAGAAGCTTTCATAAAGCTTTTAGTCAAAATAGAGAGAGAGAGAAAAATATGTAAATGGCATCAGAAATATATTGATAACAAGGTCATTTTCATAAATAAAATGAGCATGTGTTTGAAGTGCTAATAAATCAGAGATGAATGTGAAATTTATAATGATGTGAAACTTGGTAAGAAGCAATTCTTTTTAGTATTTTAACTAAAGATGCAAAAGATGTAAAATGAACATTTTGCAGTTTTTTCTTTCATTGTTATATTAGAAGACATTTAATTTCATCTTTTTTATGTGGACAGAGTCCTCTGGAGGCCTGGGCCGCCTTACCGCATGGAAAAAGAGCACTAAAGCACAGACAATGGAAGCAGCTGCCTGCGTTCTAATCTTGGCTTTGCCGTTAACATGGGGCGAACTGGGGAGGTGAATCTCTCTTTGCCTGAATTCGGTAGCCATAAAAACAGTAATTACTTTACTGGTTTTCTTCCAAAGAGCAAATGGCATTGTAGCTGGAAATCATCTTAGATAAATATCCATAGTAAACATTAAAATAATGGTAGTTATTAGAATTTTATGTATAGCAATATGTGTAATGCAATTATTTTTATCTAATCAATCTTTGCATTCTTTTTTAAACTTTGTTTTATTGTGAAACATAACATTCGATAAACTGTGTAAAACAGACTGTCACATGAACAAAGTATTATTCAGATAAACTAAATGAAGCAAAAATCTTTATAAGCTAAAACAAATATTTCTAGTCTCTCAGAAGTCCATATTATAACAAACTCCTTCGACAGTTACTATGTTTTTTTAAATGAGTTGGTTTTCATTACATATCTTTATACATACATATATGTGTGTTCAAAAACAATATAAGTTGATTTTGCCACTTTTGTAAGGTTTTGTAATTTGAATTATATAGCATGTGTCCGTTTGTCTCCACCTTTCTTTATTCAGTACTGTGATTTCAAGATTATTGTCTTATGTTTATTTCTCTTGTTCTATGTATTCTACTGCATAAATATTCCACATTTTATTTCCACACTAATGGATATATGAGTTGCTATTCTAAACATTTTGTACATCTGTCTCCTGGTCCACATGTGCGAGAGGTCTTAAATTGTCTTATTTTTGTAGACCTAAAATATTTTTCTTTCTTTTTTTTAAATATATTTTTTATTATGCCATTCCAGTTGTCCCATTTTCCCCTTTCATTCCCCTTCACTCTGCACACCCCCTCCCACCCACATTCCCCCCCTTTAGTTATGTCCATGTGTCATAAGCTCTTTAGTGTCTACATTTCCCACACTACTCTTGCCCTCCCCCTGTCTATTTTCTCCCCACCGTCTATGCTACTTATTTTCTGTACCTTCTCCCCCCTTCTCCTTCTCCCACTCCCCTGTTGCTAACCTTCCATGTGATCTTCATTTCTATGGTTCTGCTCCTGATCTAGCTGTCTGCTTAGTTTGCTTTTGTTTTAGGTGTGGTTCTTAATAACTGTGAGTTTGCTGTCCTTTCACTGTTCATATTTTTTATCTTTTTTTCTTAAATAAGTCCCTTTAACATTTCATATAATAAGGGCTTGGTGATGATGAACTTGAATTTGACCTTATCCGAGAAGCACTTTATCTGCCCTCCCATTCTAAATGAAAGCTTTGCTGGATGGAGCAATCCTGGATGTAGGTCCTTGCCTTTCATGACTTGGAATACTTCTTTCCAGCCCGTTCTTGCCAGTAAGGTCTCTTTTGAGAAATCCACTGACAGTATGATGGGAACTCCTTTGTAGGTGACTGTCACCTTATCTCTTCCTGTTTCTAGAATTTTCTCCTTCATTTTAATCTTGGGTAATATAATTATGATGTGCCTTGGTGTGTTCCTCCTTGGGTCCACCTTCTTTGGAACTCTCTGAGCTTCCTGGATTTCCTGGAACTGTATTTCCTTTGCCAGATTGGGGAATTTCTCCTTTATTATTTGTTCAAATAAGTTTTCCACCTGTTGCTCTTCCTCTGCCCCTTCTGGTACCCCTATAATTTGGATGCTGGAATGTTTAAAGATGTCCTGGAGGTTTCTAAGCCTCTCCTCATTTTTTTGAATTCATGTTCCTTCATTCTCTTCTGTTTGGTCATTTCTTTCTTCCTTCTGGTCCACTCCATTGCTTTGAGTTCCAGTTTCCTTTCCATCACTATCAGTTCCCTGTGCATTTTTCTTCATTTCACTTAGTGTGGCCTTCATTTTTTCATCTAATTTGCAACCAAAATCCACCAGTTCTGTGAGCATCCTGATCACCAGTGTTTCAGACTGTGCATCTGATAGGCTGGCTATCTCTTGGTCGCTTAAAAGTATTGGTTCTGGGGCTTTGATTTGTTCTTCCGTTTGAGCCATAATTTTTAGTCTGTTCACACCTGTTATGTATGAGGAGTGGAGCCTTAGGTGTTCACCAGGGCAGGTCAACCCAGTTGCTGGATTGTGATGCTGTATGTGGGGGCAGGGTCAGAGAGGGAGCAATAGCACTTGTTCTATTGTCCTTGCTCTCTTGGATTTTGGTCCCCTCTGCCGCTTCCCACAAGCAAACTGGGCCCTTCTGGTGCTGGTTCCTGGGTGGGTGGGCTTGTGTACATTCTAGGACCCTGTGAGGCTGGGAGTCTCTCCCATCACCTCAACCCCCACAGGTGTTTTCAATTGGTGCTTTTAGGCTTCATTTCCTGTCGCTGGGGTCCTGGGTTGTGCAGTCTGTCACTCTGCCCATTTTTGCCTGGTTATCTGTGCGAAAATGTGTGTCCACAGTCATCCAACAGCTTTTTGTGACTCACTGGGTCTGCTTGTTTCCCCCCCGTGTGCTAGCCCTGCATCACCTGCACCGCTGGGTCTACCAACCACCGCTTTTTCCTGCCACAAACCCTCTCCACTGGCCACTGACTACACCCCTCTTACTGGTCTGTATGAATGGTTCGTTTTCAAATTTCTGTACAGTTCAATTTTCTCTCTGTTCTGGTTGTGTTTGGTTTCTAAATCTTTGTTGCCCTTAAATTTGGTTGTTTAAAGAGGCATAGTGTTTCCACCTATGCCTCCATCTTGGCCAGAAGTTCTAAAATCTTTTTTCCTAGTCCTCAAGCATATAATGAGAATTGGAATTCCTGTTCATGAAGTATTGTCATCTTTAGGTTTTGTCAAAAAAATTTCGAATGTGTATGAGTCTTCCCATTGCTCCAATTCCTTCAGGGCAGTAGACAGTGCCAGATTCTCACTTTTACTGCCTGGTGGGTGTGCTATATTGTGACTTTAATGTAACTATTTTTTCATGGCATTTATTGGGGTTTCATTGGTGCACAAAGCCATACAGGTTTTAAATGTGTACAATTCAGAAAAACATCATCAGCCTTTTAGTTGAGTTTCTTTTCAGGGGTATATGAGTCATTTGGAAATCTCCTTTTGTGAGTTTCTTTTCCCTTAATATCTTAGAGAAATCCTGATGTTTTGGATGAGAGTTATTTTTCCAAATATAAGTTACAAATACCTCCCACTCAGTGACTCACAATTTCATTCTCTTTATGATATACATTAATGAATAAAAATTCTTGATTTTCATGCAGTTAAATTTGTTAATCTATGTTTTTACAGTTTGTACTTTCAAGTTTGTGTCTAAGAGGTCTTTATCTACTCCTGAGTAATAAAGATATTCTCTTCAGATAATATGTTCTAAAGTTTTAGCAATTTGTCTTTGACATTTTTATGTTTAAATCATTTGAAACTGGTTTTTGTGTATGATATAAGGAAGTGATCTAATTCTTTATCTCTCCACATGGATTTCCAATTTTTCCAATACTGTTTCCAGTGCCACTTTTTTCTTAAATTAAAGGTCTCTATATGATTCTGTTTCTGGGTTCTTTGGCCCATTTGCCTATATATTTATCCCTGTTTCAAAAGACATCACTTCATGACCTCTGGGCTACAATAAATCCTGACTGAAATCCTGAAAGAACAACTTTGTCCACCTTGATCTTCTTTTTCAAATAAATCTTTCTGCCTACTTTAATCTTCTTTTTCAAATGTGTCTTGGTTATTTTTTGCCTTTTGCTTTCCATGTAAATTTCAGAATCTGGTAATTGGTTCTCTCCTCCCAACACACAAACATGCACGTGCACACACGCACACACTTGCATAGATACCACAACTGGACAGAAAAACAATCTGTAAGTTTTTCTTGTGATTGCCCTGAATCTATAGGACAATTTAGGGATCCAAATTGTCTAAAATAACCTATTTGTGTCCACAATGATTTATTACAATTATAATCATAATATTAAATTTTCCAATGCAAAAATATGGTCTACCTCTATTCTTTTTATTCTTTAAAAAAATCTTATTAAACATCACTCAGTGTAGTTTAACAATTTCTATATAACAATCCTGTACATTTTTTAAAAAATTGATCCAAATTACATTATCTATTTTGTGATATTATAAATGGTATTAGAATGCTTATTTATCTCATTTTCTCAATATATGTTACTGACATGAAAATTATTTTATCAACTTGAATTTCAAAGGATAAAAACTATACAGATATATTCTTGGCCTAAATGTAACTATGCTAGAAATACAAACCACAAAAGATAGTTTTAAAAAGTATATTTAGAAATTAAAAATATGTCTTTTAATTAATCTATAGACCAAAAATGAAATCATGATGGTAGTTAAAACATTTTAAACTGAATGATCAAAAAGGTAATTTTCAAATGTTGCTAAAGCCGTACATTAAGGTTAATATATAACTTTCAATATATTAATGCATTAGAAAAGAATACATATATTAGAAAAAAACTAAAAATCTTTGTTCAAATTACATCATCTTCCTAAATTTGCAGCCTATTTTGTTTATTTTAGTTTGTTTACTTATTTTGTTTGCTTATTTGTGTTTTGCTTTTTATTTTCTTCCTGATATCATCCATCAAATGAATGCTAACTAGCACATGAGGCACTTTTAAACCAGCAATAGGGTGACATGAATAATTTTAGCCATTAATGCGACAAGTAAAGGTAATAAGAAAGTAGCTCTTAAAAGACACTTAATTCAGCTCTCCCCACTGTGGCTGTTTCTGTAAACACAGAGACACCTGTCCTGGAAGTTGAACGGTCTGGGGTTTGATACCTGGTCAGGGCACAGGCCTAGCTTGTGGTTTCAGTTCCCAGCCAGGCAGGTATGAGATGCAATTAATTGATATTTCTTTCCCTCCCTTTCTCTCTCCCTAACAACAATAAGCATATCCTCAAGTGAGGGTAAAAAATTAAAAATAAAATAACATAAACATAAATGGTTCAGTGGGATAAAGGTCTATGGGTTAAAGAAGAAAATGTCTCTTGTCAATGCCTTGGTGTGTCCATTGATTTCTGGGCCAATTTTCCTCTACTACTATCGCTTTTATCCTAGAATCTTATTTTCATTTTCCCATTTCCACTCCTTCCAGATCTCTCTTTCACCACCAACACATTAGTCTATCCCTTCCATAAAGTGAATACTTAATAACTAACCATATGATTGCCATCTTTACTAAAATACATAGCTACATGTTCTATGTACCTCAAAATACTTAGTGGAGCAATGGTAATGAAAGGTAGCATACCTCATCAAATATGACATATCTTATTCTTTTCACCCACTTATGACTACGAGGTGACAGCAAGAGTATTTCCAAACACTGAGGCACTGTCACCAATATCTGTTTAAAGAAAAAATAGAAAAGCATTGACTTAATTTTCTTTAAAACCTCAAGCTCCAGCCTTGGCTGGTATAGGTCAGGGGATTGAGTGCAGGCCTTTGAAGCAGTGTCACCGGTTTGATTACCAGTCAGGGCACATGCCTGGGTTGCAGGCCAGGTCCCCAGTAGGGGACACATGAGAGGCAACCACATATTGATGTTCCTCTCCCACTCTTTCTCCTTCCCTTCCCCACTCTCTAAAAATAAATAAATAAATAAAATATTTTTTTTAAACTCAAGCTTCAACTTTTAAACATCAGTAAAATATTTTAAATCACACAATATGTTCAATCTCATTTTTTGAAAAGTAGAGCAAATTTGTATAACAAATCTATCAAAAATTTAAGCTGATTTCATTAAGATATATTTTCCCACATCATACATTGGGAATATAAAACCATCACAATTTGAAACCATCGCTGCTGAAGGCAGCTGCTTCCTCGTGTTGAAATTTCAGAAAAGAAAAGCATTTGACTTTATATAGAAAATACAATTTTTAAAACGTTATCCAAATTATTAAATAAAAATAAAATAAACAATATCAAAACACAAATATACTTCTAAAGGTAATTGTGAATTTAATGTACACTCACGTTAAAACTTTGAAGTGCTTACTGAAGTGCTGAAATACACATTGTTATCTATGATGTGTTCATGTCTATGACATACCTGACAATTGAAGGTGTCATGACGGTAATCTCTTGTAAACACGCCACACACCGTTAACCCTTTTGGCAGTGCTTTGGTGAATAAACTGTAGACAGTTCCCACCACTTGATTCACAAGAGCCTTAAATCATAAAAGACATAATCTGCTAAAACACTAAAAAACATTTTTTAAAGTAAAAAAAAAAATATCTAGAACAAATTTACGCGCAAAAAGTAGAGTACCAATTTTATATAATTCTTGTCTTAATCAAAGAATTACATGCACTAAATGCTTCCCACTGGTTCCATTTTAAAGTTTTCCATAATGTGTAATATATTACTGTGTTTATTAATGTGATGACTCAAAACAATAAGTAACAATCTATGCCACATAAATGTGATATATATCTATCCAAGAGAACTCCTATGATGATTTTTTTATTTAAAAACCTGATGGGTTCTCCAGTATTGGCACATTTCTTAACTTCACTAATCCCCAGTTTTCTCATCCATAAAGTGAGAGCACTGGGCAGTATGACAGAGATGACCCCTCTCAACACTAGCATTCTGAATTTCTTCTCCCAGTGTATCTTTAAGGCCTGAAATCAAGTATTCTCCATGGAAAAGAGAAAGGAAGGAATAACCCAAATCCCTTCCAGAAGAAGAAAAAATTCTTATCTAGCTAAGAGCTTCTTGACTTTGTTTTACACAGGATGCTGTAAAGAAAGGCGCCTTTAGCACTTGTATTATCTATCATCAGGGGGCGATTCCACAGACAGTGACAGCAAACTGGGAGTGGCTGCTTTTCTCTCCTGCTGTCTCTTATGAACCTGTCTACACTATCTTAACCCTGACACTGAATCAGATGTTTTCTTTCAGCAAAATTCTCAAAAGTTTTAAATCCTGATTTTTAATAATTGCTGGACCTAAGGAGGTTTAAGCAATAAAATAAATTTTAAAAAATACGGGTGAAGGCAATCACTTATTGATCAATATTGACACCCAGGATTATTTTAGATGCTTTACATACATCTTTTCAATGCTTAGGAAGTGCAGCGGTCCCCCTTTATCCTCAGAGTATGTGTTGCTAGACTCCCAATGGATGCCAGAAACCATGCATAGCAGTGAACCTTACATACAGTATTATGCTTTTTCCTATACATACGTGTCATTTCACTTAAAGAAAGCACCTCATGGCTTCTCTTTGGCATAGCCAAATTGTTGCCATCACTAGTTTTGCACTTCGGGGCCATTATTTGGTAAAATGCTGTTAATGAACACAAGCACTGCAGTGTCACAACTCCGTTAATCTAATAACAGAGTGGGCTGCTACGTGATTAATGGGTGGGGAGTGTATATAGCACAGATACCCTGGAAAAAGAGTGCTTTGGGTCCTGGGCAGGACAGAATGGGATGGTACAAGATTTCATCAAGCTATTCAGAACAGCACACAATTTAACACTTAAGAATTGTTTACTTCTCAATTTTCCATTTAATGCTTTTGGACCATAGTTAATCATAGGTAACAAAAACCATGCAAAGCAAAACTATGAATAAGAGGGGACCACTGTATAATATAAGCATTATTATCCTTTTTTGACATGTAGAGAAACTAAAGTAAGAAACTGGCTCAAAATCACACGGCACAAAAGCACTCAAATCCATGACTGCAGTGCTGGAACCTGTACATTCTGGTACCTCCCTGGGATTAAGGGCACACCTACAGTGGAGAAAAATCACATAAGACATTTAGTGTCCTACGGATACAATACCTTGGTTGGGGCCACGTACACAACAACCCCGTCATCACTCTGTCTCAGGATTTTCTCCATGCAGTAGTAAGAAGCATAGGTTTTCCCTGATGAAGTCGGAGCAACAATTACAGCAGATTCATTATTATCTACGACATCAAGAAGTTCCCTCTGTATAAAAAGAAATCACATTTTATTTTAAAAATACGTATTTAGTGTCAAATTGTAATTTAAAGGCAACTTCACGGCAAATTAGTATTCACAGTTCCTTCTGAGACACAGTAGTGTTCAGAATAGCAGGTAGTGAAGGGAATCACCATTTTCTGTTATTTGGAAATTACTTAATTCACATCGCACTTTCTACCAAAAAGTTCTTCACATAAAACTTGGATAAAATTCCCCAAATATACAGACATTGTCACAAAGGGGCCTGCCCAGGTCACCACGCAGCCCAGCTATCTGCGTTCTTTTCAGCTTGAGTTGGGGAAACTGAGACTAAAATCAAAATTACCAAAATCTACTGTTCTTTAGAGTTCCATTTTTCTGTTTATAAATAAAGGGTCAACAAATGAATACAGTGTAGAAAATAGCAGTTTAAAAAACATGCACATATGTAACAGGCTATATATTTATCATTATTTACCATGATATATTATGAATGACTTTGTTGTTTAACTTGGAAAAATCCAAAAGCACCACTACTTTCAGAAAACAGTAAACTCTTGCCAAATATATATCATTAAACACCAGATACTACATTTTGAAATTAAGCTGATGTGGATAAAAATCATGTAGGTCCATTGATAAGAGCAGTCTAACTGGAGTTAGCTTAATTCTTAATCCAGGCTCTATCATTTAATACAATCAATACTTTTTTTTTCATTTCAATGAACTCTTTTCTTTATTTCTTTGTGTCTTTGGTGGGACACAATTTATTTTCATTGCCATTATGTTGTATTCTATAAAGATTTACACATCCCAAACTTGTTGCACGCCATGAGATCTGAACCAACTGTCTCCATCAAGTTTCTTGGCTTGCCCAGGCTGCAGATGTTTTGCCGTGAGTACCTGCCACGTGTCTGGTATGAAATGATGCACTCTGGGATCAGGATCACTTCTTTCTTCTCGAAATAAGTAAGGGCTCATGTATGTTAACTGAAACCGAGCTGCCCCCATGTGAACTGAATATTTAGAAGTATCCTTCTCAGAACTTGACTCCTGTACCTAAAATGAGTATGATAGATTAGATTTGCATACTTAAAACTTCAAATCTGGGTAAAAAAAATTATCAATCATATTGTAGTTTGCTTCAACAAGATTACTGTTTCACATTTCATATCGTTTAGAGTTAACAATGAAGGGTAAGATAGAGATATTACATCTTTACTATAATTTTTTAATACTGTTTTATGTGCAATACTAAGTTCCATCAAATATAATTAAAATGCAATATGAAATTCATCTTTTAATTATAATTCAGTATAATCTTTGATAGTTGTTAAATATGAATAAGCCCTCCCCCCACACACACACACACACTCACTAAAACCTGTGTTTCAATTAAGGGACTCCTGCCAATCTTAAAACGGCATCTTTAGTAGAGAAAATATTTTTATAAGGATCTATCTAATGAGTACACATCATTGTTCAAATTATTTTACCCAAACAACTCTACCTGAGGACATAGTAAGTGTGCCAAGTTGTCAAATCCAATATATTTTAGATATTTGGCTATTTTTTGTCGATGTACATTTTGTAATAGTTCGGAATGTTTTTCATGAATTATATGAATCCTTTTCATCAAGTTAATTATTATGTTTATATCTCTGGATACTGTTTCTGTTTTTAAAAAAAACATTGGCATTAATAACTTAAGCTACACAAGATACTGATAATAATACCCCCAAGCATGACTTAATTTTATTGCAGAATAAGGAAAGCAAGCATATTCATATGAATCACTCATAAAAATGGAGGAATTCATAGTGAATAGTCAACTGCACAGCAGTTAAGAGTGTGGCTTCAAGTTAGAGTAGTATTGCCAGCTTTAGCAAACAAAAATACAAAAGATCCTGTTTGAGATCTGTATTTCATGACAGATATATTTTTTATGTTATTTATGTGAAATTCATATTTAAGTTGCCTGTACTTGTCTTAGGAACTTGAAAAGTTACATCTCTAAGCTTTATTTTATACATAGATAATGCGATACTAATAACAGGCCTTATCTCATATGGTTATTATTAAGATTAAGCAAATTAATTAATATAGAATGATACAATAATGGTGATGATTATTATTTTTTTAATATTTTATTTATTTATTTTTAGAGCTAGGAGAAGAGAAGGAGAAAGAGAGGAAGAGAAACATCAATGTGTGGTTGCCTCTCACATGGACCCCACTAGGGACCTGGCTTGCAACCCAGACATGTGCCCTGACTGGGAATCTATGTAGTGACCCTTTGGTTCTTAGCCCATGCTCACTCCACTGAGCTACACCAGCCAGGGAAGCAATAGTTATTATTAATCGTAAGGATTAATACAGAGAATGGGATGAGCTGACATTTTTAAAGGAAGGCTATTCCATATTTTATTTTTTAATACTTACTTTTCTGGGAGCACAATTAAAAGATAAATACCTTTTATCTTCCCTCCAATGAAAAATATTAATTTTTCTGGCCCTTATCCAAACACTATTGTGTCCCAATTTAACTAATTATTTAAATTGTGCATACACTTAGGAGTAAGAATGTTGTATTAAAGTTCTTGCTCTGTTACTGACATGTGGGCACATAATTTGTTCTACTGGAACCTCAGTTTCTTAGGTGCAGTATCAGGGTAATGAAACCTGCCTCAGAGAATTGTGAGGATTTATGTATGTATACATAGCAGGACCTTGAATAACATCATTTTGTTCAATATTGTTTCATGCAATGTTAATGAGATGCCTTGGGAACTTAACTCTCGTTATTATCAATAAGCCTGTGGTAAAAGTAGTTTCACTATACATTGTTTTGCCTAAAGTCACAGAACTTACAGATGACTTTACTTGAGAACGTGCTGTGCGCGGCTTTGGTCGTGGCTACGCACGACGTACCTTCAGGGTGGGGGGATCCTCTGCTCTTCTCTTCAGAAGCCACGTGGACACCTGATAAGGTAGCCAGCTCATGACTGATCTTGAAGAACTGTTTACTAAATTGAATATTACATTAAATCTGCTCACCAATCAGATGCACAAATGGCCACAATGTTATTAGTGGATCAAACAAAAGGAGATGTTCTTACTATTTAGGCATCAAAGAATTCTCAAGGTCATACAGGGCTGAAAAATCAGCATGTGTGGCCAATATAAATTCTTTTGCTCTGTTCTTATTGACCTTCAATGAACATTTCAAGAAATTTCTAAAATGAATGGTTTACGCACCTGGTTTTGAACAGTGTTCCACCCATAATTTGAAACAGGCATCCAATCCTACCATTTCTGCAGCAAATTTTACAGACTTAATCGGGCATCCTTGGATAAAATCCTCTAGTCTTTTTATTCCAGAGTTAGGGTTTTCTTTAATTTCCTTTTCAATATAGTCAGACAAGTTATTCCATCTTTCTTCCTGTTTTTTCTCTAGTTTAGCTAGCTGTCTCTTTTGATTTTCCTCAATAATTTTTTCTGCACTTGTCTTCTAAAAAAAAAACAAAGAAATAGGGAAAGCCAACAATAAAACAAATGTTTCCATAATAATCCATTTGACCTTTTTCAATACATGGCTTTAATTGCATCTTTAAAATACCAAAAATAAGTCTGAGAAATTATCTGGCACCTTGTTATTCCTGTACTGGGCAGCACAAATCTTATTAATCAGCTGGTTGTTGAACCGTTCCCCTTCTAGAAACATTGATACCATCCAAAATTGTTCTGATAACCTTGTTTTCAATTGTTGTGGCTTGTTGGATCAAAGCAGCTGAATTTGATACAAGTTCAATGTCACTTTAAGAACTCACTCATCTTTTTCAGCTTGAGCTATTACACAAACAACACCTGACCTCATCTGAACTCTGTAAAAGTATTTTTCACCCTCAAAATTTCAGATTTCAACAAGAGAACCATCCTCCTAAATACCAACATTGGTAGGGAAGTGAGCATACACAGACCTCATCTTTTAATGAAAGCCCAGGGTAACATCCTTGGTCATGTTCTGTATATGACTGCAGTAGTGCAAATGGTAGCCATTTCCTTTCTATTTCCCATTACATGGTCAATCTGAGTCTTCTTTTCCTTCCAAGGAGCCTAAGTTCTAGGTTGATGTGACAGATATCCTATGCAGGCTGCCTCTGGGGCCTTTCATAATAACTGTGTTTCCCTTTTGAGTGATGTTGACATTTTCTAGAATGGCGACAGTCTGATTATGGAGAATAGTCTTTATCTTCTCAATAGATGTGGCAAGAAGAGAATGTCTTTCACATTTGATTTTTTTAAAAGAAATGTTTAATATCTCAGGTCATTAGTTTACATTTAGCACATTGAAGTAGCACATCACAGAGGCATTTAAGGGTTCTGAATAACTAAATACAAACATCTAAACTCATATAAAAATGGCAACTCAACTTTCCCTTTCTATCCTCAGCTATTATAGCATTAAATCATCATGTGAAAAACCAGTCTTCTGGCATTCCAAGTCTGTGAGGTTGGGTCTAAGAAAAACCATTTCAAACTAATATCCAATTGGGATATCTATGTTTTATAAAACTAGGCAGAGTGTGGTACTTCAGTATAAACACAAAAACTGGCCAAGAGAGTAGCATGCTACGATTTAAAGAAAAACAAATGCAACTTTTGCCTAGCGATTCCCAGAAGAAAAATATGTATAGATTAAAAAACTTGGAAGGATAGTTACCAGACAGACAAAAAAAGTAACTTTGGGGTGGGGCACAATTTTAGTGATTTTTAAAATTATTTTCTAGATAGTCTAAGTTTACTAAATATGTTTGACCATTATTCTCTTTTTTAAAAAAAAAGCTGTTTAAAATTTGGAAAATAATGTACTATAGTGGAAACACTTAATAACACAGAAAAATGTCTATTATATATTGATAAGTAGAGAAATAGGTTGAAAGTATATAGAGGGATTTTGGGGGGGAGCAAATCATGAGTAAAAATGACTGAAAGGATGTACGTCAATATGTTAATACTGTTTATCTGTGGGATGTGAAAACAGACATTTATTTTCTTCCCCTTTTTCTTACCTGTTTTTGTATATTTCGAAAGAGAGAATTAAACCAATAACAGCATGCCACATTATGGATTATACAGTCACAAAAAAAGTGTTCCAAAAAGTTTTCAATAACATGAAGGGAAAATGACTACCGAAATGCTAAGATCCTATTAGAATTTTGTTCTCTTCATTTGATTTGTTTTTCATTTTAAAAGTACTTTGAAAGTATATTTGTGAACTCATGGTTAGTATTTAGAGTATACTTGATTTGACAGTTACTATATTTTTTTAGAAAAATGTGGTTTTTTTCTTCTCTCATAACACGAGACTACCAATGTGCACAGCACTGGATATTGTTAAGGAAGGTTTCTCATGGAATGTGTAGGGTCTTGGGACCCGCACATGACTGAGCCCCGATAGGTCAGGACTGTACCTGGTGTTTTTTTTTCTTTTGCACTGAAGAGTTTCCTGGAGGTGGCAGCTCTCTTCCTCTTATAACCCTTACTGATCTGTTGCTTCCTATCATAGATTTTCCAAAGAGATGATAAAAACACTGTAATTTCTGTATATCCTTTCGTTCTCTGGCATCTTTGGATTTAGCTGTAGGAAATAAATACATTATTATAATAGACTGACAATGCTATTTGTGAACAAGAATTTCATTTAGAAAGCATTTGTGAAAAAGGCTTTGACAAATCCCCTAAAATCTGCACTAATCTAATTATAGACATGCTAGAGATCAAGATATAGAAGTTGAAATTATTTGAGCCACACATAAATAACATAGTAGAATTTAAATCATTGTCTGTCCTTTGCATTTTGACTTTGTTATCTATAAACCTCATGGATACACCTCAAAAAATAAATCAATGGTGAATTTATGCTTTACTTCTCTTCCAAGACATCAAAACTACAAAAGAAACCTCCCCTTTGGCATTTTTGATGGACTGGGCTTAGGGTCAAGAACAAAGGACATGAATACCGCACAAGAGCTTCCAATTTAGAAACAGAATCTCTGAAAACTACCCCAAAACTAGGTCAGAAATATTTGGCTAAAACAACTAATTAAATCCCAGGGAATGTCATAGAATGGGCTCTGGAACAAGGAATTACCAATGTGCAGACTCCTCTTAGTCTGCAGCAGAACTGGACACAACTAAAAGGAATGTACCACACTGCTCCCAGAGTAAATGTAAACCTGAGCATGTTGCTCGTGTGGTTTGAACATTCTAGTGGTTTCCTGTTGCTCTCCTATCATTCAAAATCCCCACTAGACCCTGCATGATTCAGACTCATCTCACAGCCCTCTGCACTACAGGCTCCCTGGAAGCTTTCTTATTGGTCCCCACCACTAACACACACACCCAGGTAACTGTCTTCCACTTTCTGATTTGGCTGGAAAATTTCCCAAACCCTTAAGCCGACTCTCTTCGCACCAGATCATACCCTTTGCACCAGATCATAGTATTCACCATAATTTTAGATAAGTATCTCTATAATGGCTCGTTTAACATCTGCTTTTCCTATTAGACTGGGAGCAATACAAGAGCAGGAACATATCTTTCATGTTCCCAGCTGGGTACCTGGAGCCCAGCCCAAAGCTGGGCACATAGTAACTCTCGTTTCATAAGATAGATGCTGAATGAGTATGTCAGAGACCTGCAATACCAATATGACTGCCACTTCCCAATCTATAAGGAATCCTAATTGCGTGCAACTGATTTTTAATTTTCCTATATTGATGAGCATGTACCAGTTTTAAATCAAGAAGATAACAAGATTAGAAAACTGTATTGGCCCATATCTCACTGCCAAAATAATTACTACATTATTTGAATATTTATAATATTTCATGAAATAGAGAACAGGCTGACAGGGACCAGAGGGGAGAGGGGAGGGTATTTCATGGGAAAAGGGGAAGAGTTTACAGGAACAAGTATAAAGGACACATGGACAAAAACTAAGGGGGGTGGAAATGGGAGGGAGGTGAGGAGCACTGGGGGGGGTGGGCTGGGATGGGAGTAAAAGACAGAAAACTGTACTTGAACAATAATTAAAATAAATTTTTTTAAAAAATACATTTCATTAAATTAACAATTATTGAACAGTATTTTAAACCAAGCAGTTAATAGAATTAGTAATTTGGGCAAATAATGAAAATATAATGTGATAACTGAAGGTATTGGAGCTCCTAACACAACAGAAATTTTTCATTGAGAAGAACAAAGAACTAAAGGAACATTTAAAATAATGTACAAAGTAATTTGTTGTAGCAACCCAAGAAAAAAATTTTAGATCCTGTCTCAACAAAATAACTTCCCCACCCCCCAACAGATTGATTGGAATCTCATTTTTTATACTATAAAAACTAGTTTCTTCCTGGTTCTGATGTAAAAGGTATTGGAAATTTGTATAGGGGCCTGAGAGACAGAAGGAGGAGACTATACATCAGATTTCACTCATCTCAGAGGAGTCAGTTTTTCTTATACATAAGAATAAATTCTTCAAATGTAAGAAAGTTGAAAGTATTGATGATACTGTACTTACTGCTGCACATCATCTTTTCAAAATCATCACTGAGTGGTCTAAAAGAATGCCAGTGCATGAGTTCATCACATTCTTTCTTCTCAGAAAGAGATGCAATAGCTGGGTCATCACTGAAAAACAAATCAAAGAGCATATATTATAAAACACATACTTTTTTTAAAGTATAAGTATAACACATACTATAAGCCATGAACTTATTTAATATGTCTCTACCCTTGATTTTATACTCATAAATGAACAAAAGTATGGTTAATGAATCTCATGAAGAAATAGTCAAGAAGTGGGCAAGAGTATCCACAGAAATGTCATCTCTATAGCAATAAAAAGTGCATATTAAGAATTTATTTTAGCCCTGGCTGGTGTAGCTCAGTGGATTGAACACAGGCCTGTGAACCAAAAGATCGCGGTTTGATTCCCAGTCAAGGCACATGCCTGGGTTGCAGGCCAGTTCCTAGCAGGGGCCAGTTTCCAGCAGGGAACATATAAGAGGCAATCATACATTGATATTTCTCTCCCTCTCTCTTTCCCCTCCCTTCTAAAGATAAATAAAGAAAAAATTTTAAAAAAGAATTTATTTGTATGTGAGATGGAATTATGTGCCAAATAATAATGAAGTGCATGTAGCATTACCTATAAGAGATGATATTTCTAAAGTTGAGAGGTACTTCTGCATTATTTTCGTTTCTTTGGGTGTATGTGTGTACTTGTAAAATATGTCAAGTGTAGAGGAAAAAATTAGAGAATAAGTGACACCCACGAGCACACTATTCATTTATTCCCAGACATCCACCGAGTTCCTGCTATGTCCCAGGCACTCCTCTAGATGCTACAAATACGATAATGAGCAAAACAGACTTTTTAAAAATGTCACAAATGTCTGTGGAGTTTATACAGTCTAACAGAGGTTTACAGACAACACAGAATTATAAAGGTAAAATACTGTCATGTGTCACTTAATGATGAGATACGTTCTGAGAAACGCCTTGTTAGGCAGTTGCTTCATGGTGCGGATATCCTAGAACGCACCTACACAAGTAGGGATGGCCTACTACCGCCCTGGGCTGTATGTTGCAACCTACTGCTGCTACGCTACAAACCTGCAAAGCATGTCACTGTGCTGAATTACAACGCAATGACTAATTAAGTATTTGTGATCCTAAACACAAAAAAGGTACAGTAAAAATATGGTATAAAAGATAACGTGTACACACACACCCAAGGACATGTGCACACACTTTCAAGGACATGGAGAGGACTGTGGAGGGAGGTGCCTTCAGAGAGAGGATGTCAGGAAGAGGGAGAAAGAGTAAGGGAGAGTAGAGATCAAAAGCAACCCAAAGAGATAAAGTTCGAGAAGAGAAATAATAAAAAGAAGAAGTGATACAACAGAGTTTGTGCGTGTGAGTGTGTGTGTGTACACCTGCATGTGGGTATGCAGGCACTTACAGGGGCGTTGAGATCACCAATTTCACCCCCCCCACAATGAAATAAAAAAAAAAAAAAAAATGGGCGATTATACGTGTTCAAGAAACATAATAGCCAAGACATGGAAACTGAGTATCCACTGACAGATCAATGACTAAAAAAATGAGATAGAGAGAAATAAATTGATAGGTAGATTTATAGATAAACATTTACAATGGAAATATTTAGCCTTTAAGAGAAGGAAATTCTGCCATTTGAGACAATATGGATGGACCTAGAGGGCACTCGTATGCTAAGTGAAATAAATTGAGAAAGACAAATATCACATGATCTCACTTTCATGTGGAATACTTTGAAAAGCCAAGCTCATAGAAACAGAGAGTGGAATGGTGGCTGCCCAAGACTGGGAATGGGAAAAATAGGAAGGTATTGATTGGTCAGAGGATACAAACTTCTAATTGTAAGAGGAATCAGTTCTGGAGATATAAGCACTGTTTCCATTGCTACACAACTTTGGCATCACTTAGTCTTGTAAATTTTACTGAAATGGTGTTGAATAACAGCTAATTATAGTTTTCACCTTTATTTCCTTGAGTAACAATGAAGTTAAACATCTTTTTAAAGTTGAATTGGCTATTACCATACTTGCTTGCCTATGAATTAACTGTTCCTATTATTTCCCTCCTTTTTTTTGTCTCATTCATAATTTTCTAATGAACTGTAGGAATTCTCTACACTAAATTATTTATATTAATTCTATGCTGGTTCCATATATTCTAAACATCTCCAATATTTTTTGTATTGCTCTATTTAATATTGTCAATATCATTTTTAAGTGACATGTTTTAATATAGTATTTAAATGCTCCAATACCTCTACCTTGGGTCATAAAGATATTTTCTTATATTTTTTCCACAGGTATGACTGTTGACTTTCACATTTAGATTTCTGTTCACTTGGAATTTATTTTATTGCATGGTGTCTTGTAGACATAGAATTTCAAGTTGGAAAATATATATATACATATTTCAAAACTATATAACATTTACAAAATAATTTGTTATTTTTACAATGTTTAGTTTTGTCATGTCTTTCATACATGCTATTGCAGGAACACTTTTACTTCCACACACTCCAGCCTCCTTGTGAGACCACCAATGGCCACACTTGCCCACCATACTTCTGGTCTCATCACCACTAACTGCCTGAAAGACATATCCCTAGCATGATGGTCAACATTTGAACTACCTAAACCACCTTCAGAACCATAGTTCCATCAAATCAGATATCTCTGTTTATCTCATTCTCCATTTAAAGTCTGCAATTACAAGGTCACCATTCATCCTTACCAGACTATAATTTTCCTATTAATCGACTTCTGTATCTCACCACATCTTCTAAAATTTACAGACAGTTCTTAGTAATGCTATCTGCCTGTAAAATCTTCTTTGAATATTCCCTTCACCCAGCTTTCTCTAAGATCTGACTCTTCCCTGAGGTCTTTTCTACTTTTTTAAAATTGCTTGCTCTTTTTTTCCCTAACCCTTCCTTACTATTGGGTCTAAAGACATGGGAATACCCTCCTCACTCTTCTTTGCTGCTTCAGGACATCTGTTCCCCTTTTTATTCCATTGAAACATGGGACTCTGGTATGAGATTCATAGATTTAGCAAACAGAAATGTAGGACACAGAGATAAATTGATTTCAGGTAAACAATGAATACATTCTAGTACAAGTATACTTCCTGCAGCCTTACCCAGGTCAGCATCGACAATCCTTTGTGAAGAGACCTCCACTTACTCCCTTTCTTTCACTGAAGGTATAAACCTAGCTAACTGTCTTTCTCCTCCCTGATTTTTTCTCCTATCATCTTGATGATTTCAAGATTCACATTGATGATTCATTCATATCTGGCCATTAATTTCTATGTTTTGGCTACCACCACCACCACCACACCCCAGCCACCCATTAATTATACCCTTAACTTGTCATGCCTATTACAGAGCAAAAGGTAAAGGGGATGTCTCTATATGAGAGAAATGAAAAAAAGTTATTTAAGGAAGATTTATAAGAGTTTTAAAAATTATAATAATCAACTACATATAAAGCAAAATTCATCAAAATTATCTTCCACTGCAAAATTTTAATTATATGTTTACAATAAATACAACAATAAATCTAGTTCACTATACCCAGTGATATCACAAGTAGGCAAAGTTTTTTTGCCATAAATACCAGCTTAGACCCCAGGTGTAGGCAACTACGTCAATTGCCTTGTACGTAGTAGGCAAGTGTTCCACTGTGGGGAGAACAACAGCAAGTAGCTGGTTGGCATTCTGGGCCTGGTTCATGCCAACTTTGTCCTTAACTATACCAGAATGCTAACATAGTTGCTAAATAAATAAATAAATAAATACCTGCTTAAAAAAGGTAGTTCTGACAAAATATCTCCAGCATAATCTTCTATAATTTCTGCTTTCAGAGGAATGAGTCCTAATTTATGAATTTCTTGTTTTGATCCTGGTAATATTTAGAAATACAATTAATATCTCAACATAAAACTCATAATAATTTACTGTTGTGATGCAAATGTTCCTGGAATAGCCAAGTTAAACATTTTCATGATTTATTTCAAAATAAATAATACAGAAAAATAAGTAATACTTCAATAGAATTGTGGCAAATCAGGATGATTAGAGCAACTTTATATTATACCTATTAAGTCACAAATGTAAATGTATATTGAGTGAATTGATATAGAATTTCACTTTAAATAAAGTTGAAGGCTTTTGAGAAATAGTGAAGAAATCACTATGCAGTCTAGAAAGGATAAGTATTTATTCTGAAACAAAGTAAGAAATATGCCTATTTTCCCAGAGACTGAAAGAAATAGGGTTTTATAATTTTTTTAATTTAATAATCAATAGTAATAAAGTGAAATAGTAATAAAATAATCCTGTTTCAGTGATCAGTTGAAACTTAAAAGAAACTTTGCATTTTCATTCAATCCAAATAAAAATGTGCCATAACATAGGCTGGTCTAATATGCCAATTACAATCCCCACAGGCCTACTTAAATACAAGCTGGTTTCTTCATATGAACCTTAGCAAAACTTATTGTAGAAAATACAATAAAGATATTGTTAAATGCCCTCTATGTCTGACTGTGCGGACAGATTTGGATTCTAATCTTTTACTATAAATTTGTTATGTGATTTAAGACCTTCCCAAGAGCTTATTTGTAATATGTGATGAATTATACCATGAGTAGGACTGTTTTGAATGGCAATACATAGTATGTGGCAGAATGGGTGTTTAATAAAAGTTAGCTCCCTTTCTCATGTCCTTGCAATAAATAAATAAGCAAAGAAATAAGCAAGTAAAGCAATGGGAAGACAAAGAAGGTGCGTGGTTATGGAAAATAATCAACAGGACTAAACACTGTAAAAAGATAAAACTTTAACAGCTCAGATTTACTTTCTAAACATGGATTGTACTACTAATCTCTTTCTGTTCTGAATGAGATCAACTTTCAAAACTTGTCAGCACCTCTAGGTGACGTTTCTTTGTGTGTAAGAAATGGCCTGGACGTTGTCCTCACGGGCATGGGTCCTCCGAAATCGCCATCCCCGGATACTGTTAAAACCATGTTCCACAGTGTCTGATAGCTCTGTTTCAACGTGTCACCCAGTTCCAGGGTTAGTCCTAAACAGAAGAAAATATAGATCCAGGTTAATAACTAAAGTCTGAATGATAGTGACCATGTTTTTATGTTTTATGAGTATATGAATTATTTTACATGTTTGTCTGAATTTCATATTAGATGATTAAAACAAAACAGAAGAGGCTCTGGCATATTTTTCATGTTGTAACTAATGTTATTTTAAAAAATTTAAAGTATTTTAACAGTTTCTGGCATTGCCGTATTTTTCTGTCACTCTCAACAAAGCCAGATAGGTCAAAGAGAAGCCAGCCCATGACTCCAAAATGATAGGTGAAGGAGTCAGGAGTCACCAATCAGGTAGTTCTGAAGGTCATGCTGGAGGAAATGAGGCAGGGCTTCTGCACCGCGCAGTTTCAGTTCTTCACATAATACTCTCATCTGACACTCCTTTTCAGTTTTCACAGAATCAATACCTCATCCAAAGCAATCAGCAGCAAAGCTACGGTGCTGTTTTATAGCACATGCAAATTATCTAATGCAGGAAAGATATACAACAAACGGTAACATTTATCATAGAGTTCTAGGGGTAGCTCCCATATCCTTCCATTTAAACTCTCCCCTCCCAATAACTGATATTTTCTTATAGTATTGAAAAAAATTGTATAAGGTTCTCAATGGAAACATTTACCTCTTATGAAAATGCAGGCTTTCCATAGAAAATATCTGCAAAGAAAGCTTCCTATCTAATTGTAGTTAAATAATGAATAGCTCATTGCCATTATTTGTCAGATACAACTCTCACCCACCCACCAAAAATAAATTAAAAGCTTAATTACTCAGTTACTGAAAACATACCTCTACTATATTCAACTTCATAATAATAAGCAATATTTTTGCACAAATTATTATCAGTTAAGTCAGGCAGGCCAGTGTAATTCACATTCCAATTGTTTCTAGCCTTTAATTGTTTTAGGGTGAAAAATTCACAGTATTTTAACTGAAAAAAAGAGAGAGATGCATATTTTAATAATCCCAAATATCCCCAGAATGTTCATGTTGTCCTTCAACTTTCCTCAACCATGATGTGTGCCTTAAACTCAGAAAAAGGAACTAGAGTACATAGGAAAAGACAATGCCACTGTCCTGGCACTGACAAAATATGTGACTGTATAAAAGAAGACTTACCTTCTTTACCCTTCATTTTTTAGAACTGTAACATAACACGGCTAACCTATACCTTCCAATAGTCCTTGTTGCTCTAAAATGAAATGATTTTTTTTAGTGTACTGCAAACATGAGCACAATAAATGTTCTTTCATTGACTCAAAATAATAAAGTCATTCTAGAAAAGTAGTGGGCATTTCATTGTTATCGCTATAGTTTCAATGAGAGGTTGCTTATGTCAGCATTTAATGAATTAGGGCCCAAATAAAATACAATCATATATCAGATGGGATTTCTTAAATATGCAATAAAAATGTCACATGCATGCTTAATACCATTGTGTTGACAATGACTAGGTAATACAATCAACAGTGCAATTTAAAACCATACAACTATGCCTTAATTTATTGTACCATAGGGGTTTCTCAATATCTTGCTGAGGGACTATTCTAGCTTTCTGTAATTAGCATCACTTTATCTCTTACTGCGACAATACTAATGGGAATAATTTTACTCTCCGTAGGCTTAAGTATAATAAAAGTATAATAAAATGTAATGTTCTTTTTGGTTCCAGTTTATTCCAAAATGCAACTTTTTTCTGGAGCTAAAGTTTTAATTCAAAGTAAGATTTTAATATACTACACAGATGATTTTCAATTGGTGTGCTGCAGGAATTTTTAAAGCACGCAATACCTGACTATTAAATCAGGGGCACTGACCTCTTTTCCCTTAGATGTAGAATAAAAAAAATTACAATGGCCAACACAAAAACAGCTATCTGGTGTGAAAGAATCAAAAATATACCTATTTATTGTCAGATTGGCAAAAAATATATATATTTTTGGTGCACTGCAGAATTTTAGTAGTTTATATGTGATGAAAAAGGTTGAAAATTGCTGCACTAAACCAAAATATCAAACTAGAAAGCACTATGCTGAAATATGGGAACAAAGATTTTTGAAGTTTCACAAAAACCGACAGATGAGTTTTGAATTCCTTTTTCTGCTTTAGTTAATAATAATATGAAACACGCAATTGATATAAAATTTTATAATTGTTTTCATATATATCAATAGTAAGGATTGTTGTTTATTCAAAGAAATTGTATAAATACCTGAATTTCTTCAGATTATATAGTTGAAGTACTTTTTATCATTGAGTACTTTTATACATGTACTGAATTATTTTTCCTAAAAACATGCATTGTTTGCTGGTAGCAATTTTCAAGATGCACGCAGAAATAAAAGTAACATTAGAAGAAGCAAAGTTTTCTGCCTTCTAACTTTCGCCTTATTGAATTTACAAAATTTGTGAAATTGTATGTGGTTCACCTACCATTCTCAGAATTGGTAAAAGAGTCTTGTCCCAAGCAGAAGTAATAATTCTACTCTTAGCTCTTTGAAACAGGGGTAAATGTTGAAGGCAAATCACACTAAGACAGTGCATTCTGCAAAGATCTGCAGCTTCATTTAGTGTTGGTGTTTTCTTCAAGTCCTACAATACTGCTGTTTTTTATTTCTTAAAAAAAACCAGCAACAAGGAAAACATAAATTTAAAAATATCAACCTACACACAGGCAACATAAAAATTAGAATATGCAAGAACAGCATTTTAAAGCATCTGCCTCAGAATTTCTCCATGATAGATGTATTCTTATTTAATTATTTTGTTTTAAGAAAGTTTTAAATAAGCACATGATTTATTTTTCTAAATAGTACAACTAATTGTTTTTGCTTAGTAGTGAAGACTTTTCAAAATAAATGGAGCCCCAGCATTTACTGTACCTAATACTTTCATTTTTTTAAATGGTGGCAGATGATCACCTGTTCAGAGGCATGGCTTGTATTCATCTATTTCTTTACAATCTCAAAGCAGAAATACAAGGAGGGTAATAAAGTTTCTTACTGTCATGCCAGTTCCTATGTGGAAGACCAGGGCTTGGTGGGAAGGCAGCATAAGCATAGTCTAGCAGGAAACAAACTTGGATTTGCATACTAGCTTTGCCGCCAATTAGTCGTTTGGCTGTTATTCATTTATAAAGTAGAATAACAAGAATACCTACTTAGCAGAATGGCTGTAAAGATTAACAGTAATGTGTATAAGGTACCTGGCATTGGTGTATAATAAAGACTTAGTAAAAGTTAGCTGCTATTATTAATAGTAACATCACTATTATTATTGGTATTCCTTTTTATTATATGATTCAATTATAGTTGACATTCAGTCAACTGAATGTCAGTTGCAGGTGTACAGCATAGTTCCTTGTATTCTTAACAGAAAACATGAGTCCGGGCAACAGATTAGATGGCTAGTTATTCAGGTCCATCCTGATCACAGCCAGAGACACTATTCTCCATCCGCTGTAACAAAGGCTAAATCTCCCCTGGGATGGCACCACCTAGGCCTTGAAACTGGCCTATGAAAGTCTGAACATCAGTGAAGATCAGCTGAGAATATGAATGAAATATAGATTTGTCCTTTGGTCAGGGAAAAAAGAGATGATGAGTTCATTCCAGGTAAAAAAAAATTATCCTAACTTGTTCTGTAAAGAGCCCTGCATGCCTTCAGAAGAATATGATCAATAAATCTACTAATGTTTATTCAACAAATGTGACAAATACATATTTTCTGTTTGATGAGGAGGTGACACCTATAGTTACTAGTCAAAAGCATGGCCACATCTTTAAAGGTAACATTGAGTCATAAATTAATTTTGACAGAATCCCACCTGTGTGTTCTGCTCTTCTGTACTGGTGGTTGGGCTTTCAAGGTCTTGTGCACCATGTAACATTTCTGTATAGAGTTTCAGTGTCACGGCACATGAGACAGAGCACACAACACTTCTCACATCCGCTCCTTCAGGGCCCGGACTGTGAAGCAAGGACAAGGCTTGATGTATCTGCAATAAAAAAATGTTTGAAAGACCTGCTGATTGCAATGGACAAGATTCAAGATTCAAAGGAGCTATTCAGTCCTAAAAAAAAAAAAAAGAAGTGCAATTTTCCCATGAATAATACTAACACTGAAATTCAATCATTCAAAAAATTAAAGCAGAGTATAAACGATATGCCTAAGGAAGAACAGTTGGAAAAATGTTTAATAAAAATGATAATGAGTGTATCTAACTAGGGTCTTATAATCATTTTAATATTAATAGCTATTTCTCCTCCTGATTTGTGTACTCTCTGACAAGTCTAGGTAAGCCAAACCCAGTTTGTAAGTTCCTGAGTGACTAACTTGTGAATTTTTCAATGTCATTTCAGACAGTTTCCAGCCATATACTAAGAATAAAAGTTTTAGATCTTCCCCCCATTTTACTGTGTATTTTGTGCAAAGGGTTTTCTGTAGAAAATGTCTAGGGTTTTGTACTCAATAAATTAAGAGACTCCCTCCACCTCAGCGCTATGCAGCTTGAAGATGCAAATCTAGATAATCCTTAAGGACCTACACTGGTTAAAAATGTGTCTTCTAGAAGCAACAAATTATTGAAAGTATATTTCTTAGGTGCTGAACTTTAGTTTCCAGATAAATGTGTTGTTACCTCTTTCTGCATTTCTCCCAAGTTTAGTCTCAAATGACCATACAGAAATATTTCTCTTTCCTGTGACTTTTGGTAATACTCTACTATGTAGGCATATAAGGCATGTTGCAGTGGTATCTCGTTCTAAAAGACAAAATATTTAAGTAAGTTTTGGTTCAAATAAAAATACCTGTTTGCAAACCTCTAGTTAAAGTAAATACAAGGTGGAAAATAATGTTTATGATTATTTACTATAGACAAAACAAAAAAAGCCATCAATTCAAGTTAAGATAAACTTCCACTCCTTTAGTTTGTACTATTTACTGCTGAGGTTATTAGAATCTAAGAAGAGAAATTAAAATGCATGTATTTCTAATAAAAACCAACCATTAAGAAGCACTGGCATTAGTAGTAGTATAATTTTTCTATATTGCCCCACCCTGATCTGTTATTTTTTTTACAAAACAGAAATAAAATTGCAATCAATATTATTAAGCTTAGTATTTATTCATAGCTATCTTTTTAATAGATACAGCTATTCAAAAGAGTTGCAAGAAAGCCCTGGCTGGTGTTCTGTGGCTCTTGTGGACTGAGTGCTGACCTGGGAACCAAAAGGTCGCTGGTTTGATTCCCAGTCAGGACACGTGCCTGGGTTGCAGGCCAGGTCCTCCATTAGGGGATGGGCCAGAGGCAACCAATCAATGTCTCTCTCACACATTGATATTCTCTCCCTCCCTTCCCTTCACTCTAAAAATAAATAAGTAAAATCATAAAAAATAACAGTTGTAAAAATGTACTTACAAATAAGATGATAAGGTATTTTCTCTATCGGCTATCTTACTTTTTAAAATATTTTATTTACTTATTCTTAGAGAGAGAGGAAAGGAGGGAGAGAGGAAGGAAATCATCCATCGGTTGCCTCTCTCACTCCGCTAGCTGGGGGCAACCCAGGCATGTGCCCTGACTGGGAATCAAACTGGTGACCTTTCAGTTTGCGGGAAGATGCCCTACCCACTGGGCCACACCAGTCAGGGTAGCTATTTTAATTTAAAAAGTGAGAATGTAGATAACAATCACCCCAGATCATTCATACACACACACATATATATACACACATACATATATATACACATATGTATGTATAAAACATATACACAAAAAGCATGCATATATAATATATAGTGTGTAAATAAATGTGTACGTGTATATGAATATGTGTTTGTGTATACATATATAATATTTAATTTATGTACCAGACACTGGCTGTGAATTTCCCACTGTACTACTCATGTCATTGCCCTCTCTGAACTGTTCCTCCCCAGAGTCTCTTGTACATGACCTTAGTCCATATTTCTCCTCCTTACCTCTCAAAATTGCCCATACAAAGGCTTAATATGCAAGAATTTAAGCTAACCTCCTTTGCTAAAGCCATATAAAAAATTCTGTCCTCTTTCTCCATGTTAGAATATTCCTTCAGAGTGTTCTCATGCCCAGAATCTTTGAATAAAGACGATATTGGTTCTCTGGTTAATTTTTTCATACTTACATTGCTTATTTCTTCTGGGCAACTGAACCTCACTTACCTTTTCAAAAAACTGTTTATGTGAATAGCAACTTGAGGCATAGTATCCATAAATTCTAAGGGCATCTGACTCTATTCCTGAACACTGTACAATATTGATTTTCTTCTGAAGAGCGTGAATGATAAAAATGTTTAAAAAGTCTGTTTGACGAGGTATTATTCCCTTTTCTGTGACAATTAGGAAACATGGATAACATTCTTTAAGAAATATCTCCCATTCTGGTGTCAGACAGTTGGAAAATTCTGTATGAATAGTGACATCAGTATTATATTCTAAATGTTGAATCAATATGGTACGAAGGGCCAAAAGTTCAGGGCAATTAGAATACAGATTTTCTGCATCCTGTAGAAAAAGCACAACAATATTAATTTTATGCATAAAAATAACTAGTTATTTTTCAAAATATTAGGATAGTATATAAATTGCCGTATCAACATGATACAAAGAGTTAAGAAGTTCAAGGTTATTAACATGTTTTTCTGGATCATGTAGAAACTTCAGATAAATATTCATTAGCTATTTTCCTATCAATAATACTTATTATTTCTATTAGTGGGAATTTAATTATAACCTGAAGAAGCAAAATATCTAAAAGAATAAATAATAAATTTAAAAATGAATACTTTTTTCTTAGACTCTACAAAATGAGAACAAAGAATTAAACTTATTTGTTACCTTAAAGAAAACTATTATAAATTTGGCTTCCTTTTGAATGAAATCATGCAGAAATTGTTCTACAATATAGAAGAAGTGAAGAGTTTGTCCTTTCTTGAAGTTCACATTTGAAACACAAGTGATGAATAGTGAATCTCCATCAATCAAAAAAAATTCAGATTCAACAAAGTCTTTAAGTAAGCTCACCATTCTGATTAAAAATATAAAACATGATGCAAAGATTATTAAATTTATAGCATCTTGAGATAAAATTCTACCATTCAATTGGTTACACAAATTTTCTTCTAGTTTAATCAAGAAACTTAAAGAAAAACTAACCACAAATTTCTACTATATTTAAGTAACAATTTTCCAAGCATCCTCATTATTCTGTAATAGTAAATAGCCTTTAGTTAGATATGACTGATTCTAAAGTGAAACTAGAATTCATTGGTGCAAAAAACAGTACATCTCTATTTTAAATTTAGATACTTGCTAATTTTGTATTTCTAGTGTGAAATATTAAAGCAATCATAATCCCCAGTTATTATATGCATAGAACTATCTTATTTTGCATTTTAAATTAACATACAATGAAAGCTGTGAACTGTTCACCCACTCCAAGATTTTCTATAACTTATGGTACATCTACCCTATGAGCTTTCATCAGACTTGTTTCCCTACCTCTCCTGTAGAGGCAACCACTGCCTTGAATTTAGTTTTCATCATCCTCTTGCTTAATTTTGAAAGTTCTTATGAGAATATGTGTATGCCTAGTTTTGGATTTTTATTAAAAGGACAATGTTTTACCTGTGTTTTGTGGGATTTACTTTTCAAATTTAATTACAATTACTATTAAAATTCTAGCTTAAGATTACAGGAAGCTATAACTCAATAACTTTACTGCTGTATAATATCAAATTTACGTCTAGAGCACAATTTACTTTATAGCTTTCTCCTTCCCATGATCATTTGAATGATTTCCTTCATTTGTTGCTATTACAAACTGCTGCATGATCAATTCTTGTGGATGTTTTCTAATACATAATCATACAGCAAAAGCAAATTGTTTTCTAAAGCAATTCTGTAGAATCATGCCTGGATGAACAGACATCAGAAATTCAATTTAGCTACATAATCTCCCATCCTGGTGCTGTACAAAACATGAACTGCATATTTTCTTCTAATTTAATTTTTTTGGACATGGGGTGGGGGCATTGTTTTTTTGGTTTTGTGACCAGGGTGTGGGAAGCTACCACGTGCTGCTTAAAAAATTAAAACACAAAAGAAAGATGTTAATTCGGCTACATGGTTTTTCAGAATTTTTCATAATTTGCATATTTGAACACAGAATCGAACCACAGTCAGACTGCCGAGACTAGAACTCTCAGCCTATGACTAACACTCTCTGGGACTTCAGATGACTTGCTTCTTTATTTTGTGTTACATGCTGTGAGAAATCATGAAATAGATATTATGAAATTATTAGAACCAAAGTACCCTCAGGTCATAATATATACTTAAAACATGCATTTTAAAAAAATATTTTATTTACTTATCCTTAGAGGGGAAGGGAAGGAGATAGGGAGAGAAATATCAATGTATGGTTGCCTCTCCTGTGTCCCCTGCTGGGAACTGGCCTGCAACCCAGGCATGTGCCCTGACTGGGAATGGAAATGCGATACTCTGGTTCGCAGCAGGCCCGCGCTCAATCCACTGAGCTACGCCAGCCAGGGCAAAACATGCATATTTTAAATGATGTTTTGGGTTTGGGTTTTATTTTGTAATTATATACACCTGGCATTATAATACACCTTACATTAAATTAGTTTGGAAAATTGGATGTGAATGACATAAGATTAGACTTAGTAAATCACTAAGTAGGAAGTTTTACTTTCTTCATCACTGTCTCCCTAGTACCTAGCATCTTAACGAGCACACAAAATAACAGCTGAGGGAATGAAATGGTGCATTGGTTTGGTAGATTCACCCTTGTTGCTATAACATAATGTTTTGGCATTAAACATACCAAAGACAATCTTAAGAGACTAAAAAATATTGTGACATGTAATATAAGGCCAATTAAATTGTTACTTTTAGTCTTGTGCAATATTAAAAGAAAGATGCATCTTTCCTGCACACATACGGCTCTTCAAAGTTCTCAGTGTAGTCTTCCTTGCCGCTGAGTGAGAGTTCTATAGCATACCCTTTTCCCAAGAAAAGAAAATGTTTCACCTATTTTCAAAAAAGGAATCTCTTAGGCCCTGGCTGGTGTGGCTCAGTAGATTGAGCACTGGCCTGTGAACCAAAGGGTTGCTGATTCAATTCCCAATCAAGGCACATGACTGGGACAGCCAGATTCCCGGTAGGAGGCATGTGAGAGGCAACCACACATTGATGTTTCTCTCCCTCTCTTTCTCCTTCCCTTCCCTTCTCTCTAAAAATAAATAAACAAAATCTTTAAAACTTTTTTAAAAAATGAATCTCTTGGCCCAATGGCAGTTTCTCCAAGATGATTCTTAGCAGGAAGAAATAAAAAATTATGCCATACAGAGGAAATGGATTACTTCTAATACATTACTTTTAAGAATTTGTGTTGTACTTACCGAGATTTTGACAGAGTATTCCAAATCAACAATGAAAGCGTCCTCAGAACTTTCTTACTTTCAGTTAATCCTTTAACCATAAATAACAGGATTTTAATACTTGATTTTAAATTGATTTCAACTGATAATTTCTTCTATTGCTACCCTTGAGTATATTTACATTTCATACAAGACTATGTAAGCATGGCTGAAATATTCAGTAATATGTCAAAAGATAAATAGATGTGTTAAAAATGAGAATATACCTACATTACTTTCTCTAAAGATTACGGGCAAGGTAAGCCAATCTTATTAGTTTTAAAATTAGATTTTTTATAAACTCTAAAATAATAAATCCTCAGTTGCAAATGAATTTTAATCATATACATAAATTATAACAAGTCCACAAAGACAAAAATGTCCAGAAACTGATAATTTACCACTTTCCAAATGAATTCATATGAATATATAGATATCTATAAATAGATATATAGATATAGACACTGACTATCGTCAAAAGTTCTCTTACTAAAGATAAATGATAAAATGATAAATACTGTATTTCTTTTTTACTTTCCTATATATGGAAAAAGAAAAATTGATTTAATTCTTTGAAATAAGTTTCTCCAGCAAATTCCTTTGTAATATTCTATGTCCTTGTTAAATGTATTCTATCAAAAAACTGGAACTTGGAAAAGAAACAAACATTACTATTCAGCCTGTGATGTCTCAGAAAAAGTAAGCAGGAATAGTAGAACACACTAGAGAATTTTTGGCATTTTTGTTACAGTATTAGCAGTCTCTCATAATGCGATGACTGATAATTAATTGAGTCCTCCCAACAGCTTCTTAAAAAAAAAGTGAATTTGTGCAAAATTGAGGTCTGTTAGGTATTATAAAAGAATATTTAAAAATTTGGGGTCCCTAGACATGGCCATATGCAGGACCAGATTTATTAATAATAGCTTTTCACTGCGGAAAGCTACCTTGGACTTTGTTAAGCAAAATGTAAGGCTGCATTTGGGTGTATATATTCACTTTCATTAAAATTGTAATTATTTAGTATTTCTTACAATTAATGTAGCAGTCTCCAAATGTCCCTCATTTTGTAATCCTAGAATTTCATAATCCCACTTTATCCTTACTATCCTTACTATCTGAGCTGAGAGAAGCAACGCAACAAGCTAACATTGTGAACAGTTACAGATTCAGATTTAAAAGTTTTATGTAAGGTGGCACAGTAGTTTTATGTCACCATGTCTTAAGTTTTGCTTATGAAAGCCTGCCTAACTGGTGGAGTCATGTGAAAATATTTATTTGGAAGAGTATTTTAAAGTTCAATTTCAATTGCATCAATAATTTTAGAAACACACTAAGTTGGCTTACTATATCTTTACTTATTTTTTATTTCAGTTTGTAAGTAGGTAAAAAATATTTCAGTTTGAGCTTAAGTAAATTATTAACACTGGCTTTGGGTAAATGTTATTCATGCATCATCCAGATGAAGAATTTTTTGAAATCTAGAGGATTTAATCAAAGTGAAAATAAAACATGGTTGCTAATTGGGTAACCCTAAATTTTAGTTGATAATTTTGTGGGAGAGGGCTGATGATAATTTAAAAACACAAAAAAAGCATAAAGAATAATTAGCAAACATCTATGTATTCCAAAATTGAAACTGATCAGTGTTAAAATTTTGCTCATTTGTTTCATTTATTTATTAAAGAGAAATAAACATCAAAGATAAAGTGGAATTCCCATTCCACTTAACACAGAGGCAGCCAATATTGTGATATTTCTTTGCCACAATTTTGAATTATTGTATATAATATCCTGTTATGTCTCCTTAAATGAAATGGTAGCATTCTACAACTTTTCTTCATGCAACTTTATGATTTTGAAATTTACCCATGTTGATACACAAAATATAGCATGTTAATTTTAGCAGCTGATATATGAGTATATCACCCTTTAAAGCCAAATTCCATATTCATAGGCATTTAGGTTGTTTTCTTGTTACTGCCTTATAAATAATGGCATATTATGCACTAGTTTTAATGTATCTCACTGAGCACGTGCAAGAGAGATTCTCTAAGAGGTAAGGATAAGAGAGGTAAGTAACTTTACTATATAGTATTCAGTTCATATTCACAGTATCAATATTGTCAAATTTTAAAATATTTCTAATCTGAGAAATGGGAAACAGTGTCACATGGTTCTAATTTACTTTACTACCAAGGATAAGTACCTTGCAGAATACATATCTATTTTTTCAACATTCAGATTTCCCTTTTGTGATTTGCTAATTTACAACCTTTGCCCCTTTTCTACTGTGTTATCTTTCTCCAATTAATTGGTATACAATCTCTAGTTGTTTCTGGATAAATATCTTACATTTAGACATGAGTTATACTCTCATTCCAGTCTGTGCTCTTAACTTTGTTTGGAGTTTTTATTATGTAGATGCTCTTTTACTTGATTATGGTAAAGCTTATCAAACTTTTAATTTTTTATTTGAAATTTTTCTTTATCTCATTTAAGAAATCCAGCACTTGTTTTATTTTTAAAAATTGACCCCCAAGATCCTTAAGATATTCTATCTCATTTTTTTTTTGTAGTGGCAAGATGAAAGAGATTCATAGTGAAGGTATATTAAATTAAAAGATTAATTTGGGAATACTAGATATACTTGTAATATTGAGTAATAACAAGAAAAAAACTAGTATATTTCTACATTTAGTCACTACCATTAAGTCTTTCTATAACATTTCAAAATTATTTTCTCCTTAATATATTTTGTTACATTTATTACTGAGTACATTTTAGTTCGTGTGGCTAATTTAATGGGTTTTTTTTTCTTTTAATGCATTTTCAAAATAGTCATTTTTGATGCTTAGAATCAGAACTATAGTCCATGCTCGTGAACATTTTCATACTGTCAGTGATTAGGACCAGTTTTTTTTTTAATGTCTATCTCATATTCCCATGAGAGATTTCTTGAACATTTTAGGTAATGCATAGATTTTCTTGAACATTTTAGGTAAACTTTCTTCATTGTCCAAGATAGATTTTATTAACAGTTAGTTTCTCTTTCTTTCTTACCCTCACGTATTTTACTTACTTTTCTGAGGTTTTTCTTACATTAACTAGACCTTCTAATACAATATCGAATAGTAGTAATAAAAGCTTTCTTGTTCCTCACTTCAGTGGCAAAGTAGATAAAGTGTTATTACTTGATGCTTGATGTAGGCTTTTAGCAGGCCTTTTATCCAGTTTAGGGAAATATTTTCCTTCCCTAGTTGGTGGCAAAGTAGCCATGAGTGACTATTGAACTTTATTAAACATTTTTCTTTAATGTGATAACATACAATATTTCATTATAAAATTTGTATATTGAGATATATATTAAAACTCAACATGGTATTGATGTTTTTACATTCAATATAATTATATTTTGTGCCCTAACACAGGGAGGGACAAAAGTAGGTTTACAGTTGTTTGCATGGAAAATAATACAATAATTAACAAATAATAACATAAGAATAAACTGTTTTGCACACTCACAACTGTAAATCTGTTTTGCCCCACCCTGTATGTAATTTAGGAATTGAAGCTTACCATTGTAGTACTCGTCAAACTTTTGAGCCAAGCAGACTGTTGGACCTGCTTTTACATTCCTACTATTGTAATCGGAATCATGTGAGACTCTTCTTCTACTTGTTGATTCTGATCCCTATCCCGGAGGATTTATTGATTTAATTGTACTGAAGAAAAGTCTAAGAATTTATGCTAGAGTGGAAAGTAGCAGATCTATATTTAATATAAATAAAATATGGACACACTATACACAGTGATAAAAAATAAAATAGGGACACTCATAAAATTTACGCACTGATTTAAAAAATCCCAAACCTGTTTTTTTTTTTTTTCTACATTATAGATTCCAAGTCAAGCAAACAACTCCAGGTGGACTAAAAACCAAAAACCTTCTCTAATATAAAAGAGAAAATGACTGAAGGCATTGGTATTGAGAGAGAAGGAGAAAGAGAGGAGCAGGAAGAAGGGGGGAGGAGCCTGGACGGAGGGAGGGTAATTCACCCTGGGCTATGCCTCACCTGATCTTTCTAAATCATAGCTGCTCTCCTCTGTAGCTTCCACATCAGAAGGTTTCTCTTTATCGATTTCAAACTCACAGGGCAATGGCCCAGAAGCTGGCTCTTCTTTTATTATGTCTTCTGAGCTTAGATGATCTTCTTCTTCAGACTGATCAAACGAGGACAAGCTCTCCACGGTCTCGCTGTCGTCAGCGCTGTCACTTTCAGCGTCACTCTCACGCTCACTCTCACTCTCACTGTTACTAGGGCTGGAGGTTTCATCTGACATAGGAGATGCGGAAGCCATGATCTATAAAAACAAAGCTATTCATTACCACTTTATTTAAAATAACATATCATAAGATGGTTTACTGCTTTCAGAAATAAAATCTGTTCAATTCTTTCTTTTCTCTAAATCTCATTATCTAGTTTCCTAAGGATAATCTTCATAATCCTCTCACTGAATATGTTTGCAATTAAGTCACTCAGAAGGGATGGTGGAGTTGCATGGTAGGGCAAAACGCATTCATGAAAATGTATATATGAAAGTCACATTGACAAAGACAAAAAGTAACATACATGTTTAAAGGAGGATTTGATCCAGGAAAACAAGAAAATAGTAGACGTTTCTACATACACTTTAACTTTGGAACAGTCTACATAGGTAAATTTCCAGATTTAATTTTTTTTTAATTTAATGATTTTGATGGAGGGGAAGGGAGAAAGAAACATGAATTTGTTGTTCCACATATTCATTGATTGGTCGATTCCTGTATATGAATCAACCAATGAATGAACTAGGGATCAAACCCACAACCTAAGCATATCAGGATGACATTCTAACCAACTGAGCTACCCAGCCAGGGCCTCTAGCATATTTAATATTACTTTGACAGTATTGTTTTATTCCATCATTGAGCACATAGGAACCAGATTACGATGAATTAGCATCCATTTAATGCTTCAATTTGCTGGTTTCTCTGTACCCAATTACTTTCATAATTTTTTCAACCGAGTTTATAAAATATATATTCTCTCATTGTATCAACATGTGTACTCTTTCTTTAACTGTTCTTTTTTTTAAAGATTTTATTTATTTATCTTTAGAGGGGAAGAAGAAAGGGAGAGAAACATCAATGTATGGTTGCCTTTCATGTGTCCCCTGCTGGGAACTGGCCTGCAGGGAACCAGCCTGCAACCCAGGCATGTGCCTTGACTGGGAATCAAACCTCAATCCTCTGGTTCGCAGGCCTGTGCTCAATCCACTGAGCTACACCAGCCAGGCGCTAACTGTTCTTTTCTTAATAGTAAAATATTTAAGTGGTGACATCAAGATAGACACAAACATTGGGACACTGTCTTCACTGGCAAACTGCATAAAATGTTCATTTTTCAGCTAATGGAGGAAAGAATCCAATGTGGTTTCTCAGAAACCAAGCTAATAAAGGGTCAGGGTCACTACATACCTAAAGCGAACAGATACAATCATAGTTACTATGGATACTTAGATTCACAATAAAATTACATACAAATAGAATAATTCTCTGTAAATAAACTTCAATCAATAGTAACAAAAATAGTGTCACCAAGATATTTTAATGTCACGAGCTCTTTGTGAAAGAAATCACAGATATAATGATAAAATAATATAAAAAGAAATTACAGAATCACAAAAGTCAATGCTTTATTTTAATAAAAAGATTATATGAATATAATTTGGCTACAATGCCTGTCACCCTACTGTGTGCCTATAATAATAAAATTATTTTGTGGATTAATTAATTTACTCAATCATCTTTTATTGGGTATTTACTATAAAGTCAGACACTGTTCTAGCCAATATCCTCAAGACCTCTAGTGTCAAGAAGCACACACTTATTTGACAAAATTCTATACCCATTTATAATAAAAACTGTCAATCAAGTGGGTATAATAGGAATATACTTTAACATAACAAAAGCCATATATAACAAACCCACAGCTAACATCACAGTCAACTGTGAAAAGTTGAAAGCTTTTTCTATAACATCAGGAACAAGACAAAGATGCCCACTATCACTACTCTTATTGAACACAGTATCAGAAATCTTAGCCACAGCTATGAGACAAGAGGGGAAAAATATCCAATTTGGAAAGGAAGAAGTAAAATTGTCACTATTTGCAAATAACATGATACTATGATAAAAAAAATTTCACCAAAAATATTAGGATTAGTAAATGAATTCAGTAAAGTTGCAGGATACAAAATTAGAAAACTCAGAAATCTATTTTGTTTCTATACATAAATAAGGAATTGTCAGAAAAAAATAAGGAAAACAATCCTATTACAATTGTATCAAAAAGCATAAAGTACAGAAGTATAAATTTAAACAAAGAGATAAAAGACTTGTACTCTGAAAACTATAAGAAATTGATAAATAAATTGAAGAAGACATGAATGGAAGCATATACCATACTATGGATTGAAAGAACTAATGTAGTTAAAATGTCCATACTATTCAAAGCAATACCTATCAAAATACCAATGGCATTTTTCACTTAACTGCAACAACAACAAAAATCTTAAAATGTATAGGGAATCACAACAGACCCTGAGAAGCCAAAGAAATTTGGGGAAAGAAGAAGAAAGTTGGAGTATCATGCTCAATAATTTTAGACTACACAACAAAGCTATGGTAATGAAAGCAGTGTGGTACTGTCGCCTGTGTGAGTACACACACATCAATGGAATAGAAAAGAGAGCCCAGAACCAAATCCACACATATGTGGTCCATTAGACCACAACACAGGAGGCAAAAACATACAATGGGCAAAAAACAGTCTCCTCAATAAATAGTGTTGGGCAAACTGGACAGATACACACACAATTTGAAACAGACCACATTTTTATACCATATACAAAAATGAACTCAAAATGGATTAGAGACTTACATGGAAGACCTGAAACCATAGACCTGTAGAAGAAAATACTGGCAGGAAATTCTTTCACATCGGCCTTAGCAATAATTTTTTGGATATGTCTTTTCAGGCAAAGGCAACTAAAGCAAAAAGAAACAAATGGAACTATCTCAACTAAAAAAAATTGCACAGCAAAAAACCATCAACAAAACAAAAAGTCCATCTGCTGAATGGGAGAAGACATTTCCAACTAATGTATACAGTAAGGGGTTACTATAAAAAATATTGAATTCATACAACTCAACATAAAACAAACAATTCAGTTTAAAACATGGGCACACGAGCCCTGGCTGGCGTAGCTCAGTGGACTGAACGGGGGCTGTGAATCAAAGTGTCGCTGGTTCGACTCCCAGTCAGGGCACATGCCTGGGCTGCAGACCAGGTCCTACTTGGGGGAATACAAGAGGCAACCACACATTGATGTTTCTCTCCTTCCCTTCCTCTCTCTCTAAATACAAATTTTTTAAAAATCTAAAAAAAAAGAGTTGCTTCCTACGTGTAGAATTTATCTTTAAAAAAACATAAAACAAACAAACAAAAAAACATGGGCACAGGGCCCAAACATACATTTCTCCAAAGACATACAGCTGGCCAACAGACACCTGGGAAAAATACTTAATGCTACTAATCATCAGGGAAATGCAAATTAAAACTGTAGAAACATATCACCTCACACCTGTCAGAATGGATGTTATCAAAAAGATAACGAATAACAAGTGCTAGTGAAGATGTAGAGAAAAGGATCTCACGTGCACTGTTGGTGGGATTATAAATTATTGCAGCCACTATGGACAAAATGGAACTGCCGTACAACCCAGCAATTCCACTGCTGGGTATTCATGCAAAGAAAATGAAAACCAAAATTTAAAATGATATATGCACTCCTATGTTTGTCGAAGCATTGTGTTCTTTTAAGATTTCACTTATTTATTTATTTTTATAGAGCATTCGGGAAGGGAGCGAGAGAGAGGAAAACATCGGTGTCTGATTGCCTCTTGAGTACCCCCAGTTGGGAACCTGGCCACAGTCCAGGCAAGTATCCTGGCTGGAAATCCAACCCCGGACCCTTCTGTTTCCAGTCCGGCGCTCCATCCCCTGAGCAACACCAGCCAAGGCTGCAGCATCGTTTTCAATAGCCAAGATATGGAAGCAACTTAGGTAACCGGCTATAGACAGATGGATAAAGGATCTAAGGAACGATCTAACTAACAGCAGCCCTGGCAAGCACACAATCTCATTGATGTCACATTCGTTACAATTTCTTTAGTAAAACTACATATAAACTTTGCCTTCTACTGTAAGAGTCCCTGCCACAGACCTGTCGTGGTGGGCTACCGCTTAGGAACCACTGCAAACTAAGCTCCCCTGAGCTCCGCCTCCTGTCTCGCCCCGCCCTGCGGTCATCCATGGAGGTACAGTGAAACGCACCTGAGCTCCACCTTCCCCCTCCGGTTACCCCGCCCAGTAACCCCCAACCTCCAGGAAACTGGTCAGTGATGCCTAAAAGGTCGAGGGGGCTGCAGTACTACCACACAATATGTCAGTATTTTTAAAATATAAAAATGTGTTTTGAAAAAATATTTTTGATTCATCCTCATATAGCCCTCTAAATAATTCCACACTGTTAGATGAACAATAACCCTGTGGTCATTAAAAGGGAAGTGGCTGCTCCACAGGGCTTCGCAATGACACACTAGAAATAATTACAGAGACAAGAACTAACTTTTCCTTTGATTTCCAATTGAACTGAAACAGTGCGGAAACAGCTTCAATCGTTTAAAGAACCTCAATTAAGTTGAGTCATATATCACCACCTATCCTAAAGAGAAATACAATCCTCTATTATTAAATTTAGAAATATACTCCAGATAGCTCTGGTAACAGTATTTAAACATCCAAATTTACAAATCACCTTTGAAGGTAGATTTCTCACTGGGAGCATTGTTTCTCAATCAATCCTTCCAAGTTCATCATTGCCCCATCCTCAACTTCACAAAAACATTTAGAAATATTTATTTAAATTAATATATGTGTATGTCATTTTATATTGGCCTGTTACAATAAGCCATAAGTCTAATGTAAAATTGTGTCACGTCTATTTTTCATAATCCAGCTAGTACTGGGAAGTCCTAGAATGTTTTACAAATAAAATTCAATCTAAAGCAGCTATTTTGACATCAATTTCAAATAGATGTTGGAATTCATTTATTTGCAAATAAATTGTCTTGTCTTCGAACTAAAACCACCACCACTTCATTGCCCCAGGTATAACTAACCTTCCACTTTAATTTAGCTTTTAGCAGTCAGTTCTTTTTTCTTAAATGGTCCCTCAATATAAGCACACATTTTTTTCCCCTCATCAATTCATCTACCCACAAGGCACCAAACCCTCTCTTACCTGGGATCTGTAGTTTTCTTTTTACAGTCCAACAGCCAGCCCAGGTCACAAGAGGGGGCAAGTCTGCCCTCAGGGGTTCAATCAGAGCTCTGCTTTTTCTCTAAATGAACAAGAGCAACTTCTCTGCAGCAACTGAGTCACCCTGCTTTTAGTTTCATTTCCTGGAGAGACAGACAAGAGGAACTCTTTAGGCCACTCCTTAGGCCATACTTGGCACTGAAGGCAAAATGCAAATAGATGCCTCCCTCCCCCACTACCTCACTGAAGCCTAGGACACACCCTTGAGACCAACTAGTCCGAGGACTTTGTGCAGCCTCTGATTTGTTAATTAGATTTGTTATTATCACTGTCATTCTTTTATTATAACATTATAAAGCATATAGCACTAGAGACCCTCAATAAAATACAAGTTTTCCACTATAATGTAAAAATATTTCTTGTCAAAGCTGATTGAATATTAGTTTCCATCATGAGAATACAATCAGAACAAGGGGATTGGAGTTTGTGGCAGTAGAAGGAGCCCACAGGAAAACATTCCTCCCTCCATAGAACTAAAGGCCCTCACTGCAACCACCTTCCCCTCTGATGGCCTCTTTTGATAGGTTGTCTGCCCCTTATCTCTCATGTGCTGGCCCTCTTTTTAGTTTGGTTTCTAGCATTTAGACAATATCACAGTTTAAGGGTTTTGCTCTCTCAGTCTACAGAAAATATTCTGACACTTCATAGAAGTTTGAGTGTTGCGCATTACATTGATTAAGTTTTGAGTTCATTGGTACAGGTTTGGAGTTGGAGAATACTGGGAGAGTTGCTGTTTTCTTTTTCTGTGAGGTCATCCGGCAGGAAAACTGCGCAGAGATGATGATATTTGAGGTGGGTTTTAACGCATGGCTGAGACTTAGGTAGAGCTGTTCCAGGAAAATGAAGCGACCAGACACCGAGGGTTTCTGGAGTACGAGGTTTATTTAACCTGCACGGGCCCAGAGGAGTCAGTGTCCAAATTCTGAGCCCTGAACAAAGGATTCTTGGGGTTTTTATAGTTTACAGGGTCTTCTTGTCTACGTAGCAAAGCGGGATACAGAAGCGGAATGTGGAAGTTAGTTCTAGCTACGGGGCAGAAGCAGAGGACAAAGGCTAAATTCAAAGGTCAGTTTTTAACAGCAGGGGTGTTAATCTCAGTCCTAGCTAATACACTGTTGTTTACTTATCCTAGACAGCCCCACATTCTCCCTAGGGCGCCTGGGGCCTGGGCAAATAAAGGTTAAACAGAGGTTCTTCAAAGTTTCCAATATCAGAGCAAATAATTGGCTCCGAATTAAAAAGAGGAAAATGTAAACTTCCCTTTGGAGGGCACTCTGTGGACTGGGTTAGTTCAGCCAGATTGTTAAAGATATAACATATTAACAAAAAGCAGGCAATACAGCTTGAAAGACAGATGGATGCCAGATTGTAGAGGTCTTCAATAGCATCCCAAGGAGTTTGGATTGTCATTGAGAAAATGTCATGGAGTTTTAAGTGTATAAATTGCTTCTGTGCCTCCAAATATTAAATATTGACTGATGACCATTGTGTTCCTAATTTTTATCTTTAGCTTGAGTATCTTCCTAAACGTTAGATCCCATCTTTCAAACTACCTACCAGAAATGTTAATGAGGCAGCTAATGTAAATACACCCCAAATTAAAATCATTATCTTCTGCTCAAATGTTTGCCCTGATATACGTTTCATAGTTTAATGGCATCCAAATCCATCCTTCCATTCAAATGAGAAACCTACCTCTTCTCCTCCTAGACCCATGTTGAACCCACTTTATCTCCTTGTCAATTTTATCTCCTGAACACCTTTCTTCATTTTTTCTCTCTATGCCTAGCTCCCCTGCCTTTGTTAAGGCCCTTCGTTTATCACCTCTGACTTTGACTATTTTAAGAGCCTCCCAAGTGGTCTGGATCTCCAGTATTATTTTGAATTGCAGTCACTGCTAAAAGTTTCATTCCAGGAGAGAAGTTTGGACATTTTACCCACATACTTTGCTGCCTCCAATGAATCTCCATGACATCTTCAATAAAAGTCTGACTGTCTATGTGATGTCTTTCCTCAATAACTCTTAGCAGATATAATTGGTACCTTTTCTGTGTTCCTAAAAAGCACTGTACTATACTTGTGCATATTTATCTCACAGAGATGCTTTACAAAGTAAATAATACATTACCTGTAAGAAACTTAGCACAGTGCCTAGAAAATTATAATTTACCAATAAAGATTGTTATTATTGTCAGATAAAAGTATAGTATGGCAGTTAAGAGAATGCCTTTTCAAGCCAGATTGTTTAGGTTCAAATTCATCAAATAAGTGAGCTTTCTACTGCCTAGCTGCCTGGTCTGAAACAACTTATCTAATTGCTCTGAATCTAAATTTCTATATCAACACAATGCAAACACTAATTATATCTATCTCCAATGTTTACTGTAAGAATTAAAAGAAATAGTTTCTATACAGTACTCAGCACATGCCAAAGGTAAAATTGTAACTAGTCTTTAATATGTCCTTCCTTTAACAAAACATCTGCCTACCTCAGTGGGTTGAATGGTTAAACAAACTGGCACATCCATGCCATGGAAACTACTCAGCATTAACAAGAAACATACTATTGCGATGCAGTGTCCAGCCCTGCAGAGTCTGAGTGTCGTGGATGCAGTACACAAATTCACACAGACTAGCAAGTCCTGTGGAGAAAAAGGGATGGCGTGGCCACTCTCTCAAGAGGAGAGTACCCTGACTCTTGCCTGGACAGGCTTTTATTGCTTTTCAGTCACATTACATCAAAGGTTCTCATTATTTCTAGATTTAGTTAAGTGATTACTTCTTACAGATAACAAAAAAAAAAAAAAAAAGAGAGAGAGAGAAAAGTTGCAAATGCAAGGGAATGATGGAAGTGATTGATTTGGTTACATTTCACCCTTCGGACTTCTTAGCAAAGACTTTAGGGAGTTGCTTCAGAGATATACATTAAACATCTGCAGTCTTAACTCAGGGTGAGGGAGTTTTAGCAAAAGCAAGTCTCATAGCAGCCTGGGTACAATGCAGGCCTGATTCCCCATGGGAAAGCCAGTCTGCACACCTGGCTCCTATGTGCCGACTTGCACTCGATTGGTTTTCTGGATCCATACTGGGCTACATTTGCCACTGCCATGCTGATTGGTTCCCTATACTGTTGATAATTCATCAACTTGGATGGCTCTCAAAGAAATTATGCTGAGTGAAAAAAAAGCCAATAATCAAAAGGGTACATACTATATGATTCTAGTTATCTACGTATTGAAATGAAAAAATTACAAAAATAAAAACAGCTTGTGGTTGTGAGAGTTTAGGAATAGCCTTCGGATGAAAGGATATGGAATTAGATAAGAAGGGGGAAGCAAGAGTCAGGAGACGGTTATTATTGGAAACAGTGTTACTTTTTAAAAACCACTTACCTGTGATTATAGGCTGATATACAGCTTCTCCAATTACAAGAGAGATATGCTATGTGTAACATAATTCTTTGGAAGCAAAGTAATAAAACAGTATGAAAACTAACACATCACTCACATTACACTTATGTTAAGGATATGTTACACTTATGTTTGTGATGTTATGTTATGTTATGTTATGTTATGTTATGTTATGTTAAGTTATGTTATCCTATCTAATCCCATGGAAGCCTTGCAGAGGATATTCTGCAGATTGAATACTTAGGTGATGATGATAATGATGATGATGACACCAAAATGTCTTGTATAGTTCTTGCCATATGGTTATTATTGTTACACAAAGACACTCACACATATAGACAACAGATAAGTTTATTAACTACATAGCATGATAATTATTCGCCATTCATCAAGTGGAAGTGGATCATCACAAAGGTCTTCATCCCTGTTTTCTTTGCATTGCGTAGGCTGAGGAGGACCAGGAGGAGGACATGTTGGTCTTGCTGTCACACCGGTGGCAGCCACAAAACAGGAGGAGAAGGTGGAAGAAGAGGCAGATACTCTCAGTGCAATGTTATAGCAATACATCTCAATTTCTGACATTTTTGCTTTTCCATTTCTCTCATAATGCTTCTCTACAGTACAAATCTTCCACCATCTGCTTTTGTTACAACGTCTGCATCGCAGAAGGGTCTGTATTGTAAAAGAAGTCAAAGCAGTCTTCAGTGATCAGAAGCCTTCTGCCTGATGGTTTAATGTCCCTTCGCCTTCAAAACCACCTTCTTCCACGTCTTCTTCCTCAGCGCCTGGCCTGGGCTCGGAAGCACTCGTCTGTAGCAGGTCGCCTTCTGTTAACTCCTCCGGGGCAGTGTCTTTGGCTCTGGAATTTCTCAAAGATTCATATCTTGAAACCCTTCACCATCATCACTACCTCTTTTATTTGTTTTGCCATATCCACAGTCTTTTCCATAATCTCTTTGATTGTCTCTGTCATATTTTATGGTAGTAAACAATAAAATACACTAGTATCTACATATATTTTATGCATTCATGACATACCTAATTTTTTCTTATTTTTTTTGATATTCTAAGCTCTATGGTTCATCTGTTTTTTCAAATTGTCGCGTCTCTAAAAATTTTCAATATATTTATTGAAAAAATCTACATGTAAGTGGACCCACACAGTTCAAGCCCATGTTGTTGAAGAGTAAAATGTATGCATAAAATATTATATAAAAATCATATGTGTGTGCAAATGGATTGACAGATACATAAATTTAACATAAAGAGACCAATGGTAGGTAGATCATACCCACTTTATTTCTTTGTAGTTTTTAAGCCACTTTTTTACAATTAAAATCAAACCAAATCAGCTACATTTAACTTTAAAATATCAGAGAATTTTATAAACAAAACTGTCATTTACAATTTTAAATTAGTAGTTTAAGATCACTGGAAGATACTGTTTTAATGGCCAAATACCTAAGTTATGTAATCACATTCAGGTCAATTACAGAGACTATATTTTAACTTCAGGATACTGTTATCATCTATTTTAGCTTTAGTAAAATACTTTACAAACTATGACATTAAGGTGAAAAATGTTCTAAATGTAATATTTGGTTAAGTCTCACAGAGTAAAAATTGTTTTTTAGTCACATACAAAGTCCTTGTATTTTCTCAATCAAT